AAAGGGGTTGGTGGCGCCGTAGGGTAGGTTTCGGGGCCGCGGTTGCGGAGGTCCCGCACGGGGCTGCATTTGGGCTGGGGTTCGGTTCGCATCGTAGGAAGAGGCAGGTTCCCTATTCCTAGGATATGTACCTTCTCTGTATTCTGGCCTGTATGGTTTAGAATTTTTATATTCAGACCGCCTGGGCAGAAGAGGACAGTATCTTTTTATGTGGCCGACTTCCTCACAGTTGAAACAGACGCGTTCATCCTGTAATTCCGGTCCGCCTGATTTAAACTTTTCTTTGAAGGTGGGAACCGTGGCCGCATAAGCTAATACTCGGGGATGGTCGGGTTTTTGGTCTTTCTTCTTCCTCTCATCCCTTGAGTTAAAAACGGATTTTGCGATGGAAAGGATTTCGTTTATGGTTTTTCCATCGTATCCGAGATGTGAATTTAACGCCTTTCGGATGTCGGCGGTGGCTTGATCTTTGAAAAACCCTTTAACTATCACTTCGTGCTGTGGGCTCTCCGGGTCTATTCCACCCCAGGTCTTAATAGCGGAGACTAGCCGTGAATAGTAGTCAGAGGGATGTTCATCAGGTCCTTGAAGGACCGCTTGGACTTTGGTCCAGTTTACAGTTCGCTGTCCTGCAGCTTTTATGCCATCTAGGATGGCCTTCTTGAAGATTTTTAGACCCCATTGGCCATCGGTAGTGTTATAGTTCCAGTCAGGGTCGTTAAGTAACGTCTGAGTGGTCAGTGGGGTCATTGAGGCCGGACAGTTTGGCTGGTATCCTTCCCGGCCGAGGGCTTCTCCCGCCTTTGCTAAGATCTCCCTTTTCTCTGCCTCATTGAAAAGGGCTCCCAACAACATGTGCACATCCGCCCACGTGGGGTTGTGAGTGGAGAAGATGGTAGCCACTTGGCGGTGGCATTTGTCTGGGTCGTCCCGTAGAGAGGGCATCTTATCGGACCAGTTCATTAGGTCAGAGGTAAGGAAAGGTTGGTGAGTAAAGACCATGCGGGGAGGGTCGCCTGCTCTGACGGGAGGTATAGGTAATGCACGCAGTGGAAAGGCACCTTCTATTTCTCCGTTCAGCAGATTGTCCCTGTTTCTGGTTCTACTGGAAACGGGTCCCTCTCTTCCTTCAGTTAGGAGCTGCCCACTGAGTAAAGGCCCAAGGTCCAAGTCAGCCTGGTTCTCTGCCGAGTTCGATGCGCTTGAGGAAGGATCGGGCGGCAGTGTGTTAGGGGCGCTTTGGAGAGGGGCAGTGGCTGTGGCTGGTGGGTTCGTTATATTCTCCCTTGGTCCTGTGCCTCCCCCTCCGGCTCCCGCTCTGACTCCCGCACCAGGCCCTGGCTGTCGGGGTGCTTCGGGTTCGGGGTAGTAGAAGGGGACGAGGGTTCGATCCAATTGTTCCTCCTGAGCCCTAATCTCATCGTACGGGGGGGGTCCAGTTGTTTTTAAAACAGCCATTTGGCGGACGATTTGGGCTTGCTGCCGTTGAAATAATTCGCGGGCTTCGGCAAAGGCGTTGAGGTAGTATAGTTGTCGGGGCCTCTCATCAGCCAGGTAAGTTTTAAGTGCTTGCATTTTTTGAAGATTAAAGGAGCCGTGAGATGGCCATCTAGAAGCTGGCTCTAGGTGGTGGGTAAAGGCAACCCACGAGGTGTTACAAAGGTCCTTCAGCTTGGACTTTGAGAGCCCCTTCCTCCCTTTCAGTTCCTTCCAGTTTAAGAGGACGAACTGAAGAGGGGTATCAGAGTCCTCCCTGTGGCGGAAAGGCTCCGCGGAAGCCTTGTCGCCGGGAGGAGTCCAGTCTGAGTGTTTGGAAGATTGGGATCCCATCTTTTATTTCTATCAGGTTGTTGTTTCGCTAGCGAAGAAAACTAAAGACGGAAAAGGATGAACGTACACACACAAGGGAAGAGGGAAGAGGGTTTGGGAAGAGAAAGGAGGAAAAAAAAGATCTTTTCAGTATTTAGGAATGTCCTAGTCTTAGTGGAATCTCTACTTATTTCTGAACCGCGAAATATTTGCCTAAAACCTCGAATCTGAACGGAAATCTGAACCACGGGTCTCTGCCCGGAAACCTAAACCACGGGTCGCTGCCCGGAAACCTAAACCACGGGTCGCTGCCCGGAAACCTAAACCACGGGTCTCTGCCCGGAAACCTAAACCACGGGTCGCTGCCCGGAAACCTAAACCACGGGTCGCTGCCCGGAAACCTAAACCACGGGTCGCTGCCCGGAAACCTAAACCACGGGTCTCTGCCCGGAAACCTAAACCACGGGTCGCTGCCCGGAAACCTAAACCACGGGTCGCTGCCCGGAAACCTAAACCACGGGTCTCTGCCCGGAAACCTAAACCACGGGTCTCTGCCCGGAAACCTAAACCACAGTATTGTTTCAAAGCTAATCCTAGTGTGGGGCCCCAATTGTGAACCTCCCCTCTTTCCTCCACAACAGCCCCCTGCCTAGCCTTTAGACTAAATTCGGCTTCCCTACTGAACGCCTGCACAGTGCAGTGCCAGATCGGGCTCCGAGAAAACAAAGGTTTGAAAGGAAGCAAATGACCTTGCGTTCTCACGTACCCGGGTCATCCCTAACAAAGGTCGCCGGGCAGGAGGGGCGGCTTCATTTGCACAGGCAGATAAGGTAGAGAGAGATTTGTAAGGACACCCCTGGACGACTCCGAAAGGGACGTCAGAGAAATAATAGACACCACGCTTTCCTGGCCACACTTCCGAAAGGGAAAACGGGGGAGAAAAGGAGAGATTTATAGGGGACGCCTTTGGCCGACTCCGAGAAAGGACGTCAGAGAAACAATAAGCACCACGTTTTCCTGGCCATACTTCCGAAAGGGAAAACGGGGGAGAAAAAGGGAAAGGAGGTTCGAGATTTTGCAGATGCAACGTTGGAAACAAGAAGAAAGATCTGGCTGTTGTGGAGACGTTATTTTCCACCCCCCTCCCAATGTATTTTCTTCGGAACCATACTCACGTCCGTTGATGTCCCCCGTAGATCCCGGGATCTTTCCTTAGCCGGCTTTACCTCGCCTTTGCTCTCTCTGGTTGGGCTTCTGGTGACGGTTGATTACCGCCCGCAAAGAGGAGGCAGGGAGAGGAAGAAAAGGATCCTCAGGCTAAGGTAGCCCGGTGGCGCCCGATCCCCTCTATCTCCCCTCTCACCTTTACAGGAGAACCAAGTGTCCCTGAGTCGCGGTCGCCAACTGTTAACGGAATTTCAAGGGTCCTCTTGGGCAAATGAAGACACCGACCAGAGCAAGTCAGAGCAAAACAGCAGCCAGTAGGCTCGGTCTTTATTTAGAAAGACTGTCGCGACAGGACTCCCACCGCCCACAAGGTGAAGCAAAATGGAAGCCCCGAACAAAGGGAGACCCTAACTTTTATTAGTTGCTAATCCCCTAAGCTACACCCTCAGAATTACATCACATTTACATCACGATTATATTAAAAATAGGAGGGGTTGGGGAGGGGCTGCGCAGGTAACCCGAGTGTCCTGACACCTGGCCGGAGCCCCCTTCCCCCTCCCCGCATGAGTCATATATGAAAACAAAGGAAGAGGGCAAAGTTTCCTGCCCCCTGAGGAGAGTCCGATCACAGTCTTTTGTGTATGTCTGCGCGGAATACACCAAGATATGCAGTTCATTGTGTCTTTGATAGCCTCCTGTCTGAGCCGATCACTGATGGCTATCAAGGTGGTTACGTCTAGTAGGAAGGAACACAGAGTACGTGACTGCTCGGTTAAGGGATTATGGCCGCTTGATTTCGGACCACCCCCCTTTGATAGTCTTTGTAATATCCAGCAGAATAAAAGTGGTCCGGTGAAAATCCGAAGTACGGCTGATTTTTAGTGAATTTATGAAGAATATTGTCTTTGAAGTTCAAAGCACTTTCGCTTTCAGGAAGCGGCTTGCTACATTTTGATTAAATCAGTCACGGTCAATTGAACTCGGAAACCTTGTATTGAGAGCTGTCAAAGGTAAGGGGGAGAGCGGCAGTAGCCTGCAGTACCCGCGTGGCCGCCGCAAGGGGCGCTGTTCGGTAATGTTGATTGGCTGAGGCGGGCGCCGATTGACAGCAGAGTTCGGTCGGCCGGTCTACTCTCAATAAAAATAGGGCGATGCGGAGCGCCATAGCGGGAAGCTGTCAAGCCAGCGCTTCCTTATTTACGGAAGGCTTTAAGGGATGTCCCTCTAAAAGGGACATCTCCAGGGTCAGGAAGGGGGAATGTATGTGTGTGTGAGTGTGGTGCTTGTGTAACACGTGTCAGTGAGTTGGGGGGGGGGGTTTTCCGGCGACACTTTGTATTTTTTAAAGTGTCTTAAGTTGACAAAGAAAAACAAAAGCAAGATATTAAAAAGCAGGGGACCCACACTGGCAGCTCACATTGAGAATACAATACCTATCAGTACTTTTATCAAACATATGAGTCGATAGAAGCCCTCCAGATGTTCAGATCCATGCTAGATTGGCATTATTATTATTATTATTATTATTATTATTATTATTATGAAGTCTTCACTGCGTGGAGGACGCTGGGTGTTTATCCTTCCAGGCTCCAAGGATAACCTGTAACAGGAATGTTAATGTGTAGCTTATAATATGCAACTGTATATAGGGCTTCAGCACGCCCGAAGCACAATGCACACGCTGGCGCTGGCTACTGTATATGCACTCTGGAAGGGAGATGCGCCCGATGCGCTTGCAAGAGTCTGCAAGCAACAGATCACACGATCCACTTCAGGAGGAGAAGAAGAAGAAAGCTCCTCCCTGTTCCTGCCGACGCCGCCACCGCCACTAATTAGCCCGGGTCGTTTTACATCGCAGCAGGGTGGAATGCTGGGCGCGCGCTCGAGAGAGAGAGAATACCGTGGCCTCCCGCCCCCACCCCCGCTCCTCGTCACGTGCGCCTCACCTCTCCCCCCGCTAGTTGGTGGCTTCGTCGCGCAAGAGAGCGAGGGGGCGCGAGAGCGGGAATTTCCGCCGGGCGCGCGCGCTCGCGTGCGTCACCCCCCCTCCCGCCTCCTCCTCCGGCGCCGCGCGCTGGCTGCGTTTCCAGCCCATTCAGTTCATTCAACCGCCGCCTCGAGCGCCCGGTGGCTGGTCCTCGCCCTCGCCAAAGCCTCTCTCGCTCTCCTGCCTCCATCCCACGGAGGGCGGACAGTCAAGGTAGGCAAGGAGGGGGAGCCCCCCTGACCTCCTCGCCAAGGCAGCCTCGGGGAACCGGGCGGCTTCGAGGGGCCACCAAGTCCCCGTCTCTCTCTCCCCCCCCCACTTCCTCTCCAGCTCCGCGTCTGGTCCTGAGGAGGCTCTGCTGCTACTGCTGCTGCATCCTTCCTTCCCCCGCGCGCACCACGCGCCCCTTCCCAGCGTCGCCTTCGCGCCCGGGTCCCTCACCCCAACCAGACGCCGGAGGAGCTCAGGACTCGCGGCTGCCTCCACAGCTGCGCACGGAGGAGGAGGAGGAGGAGGAGGAGGAGGGAGTCCCTCCGAGGTCACAGGGCGCAGCCGCGCGCCTCTCCTCTCTTTCTGGTCCCCACCCCCCTCCCCCTGCTTCCAGATAGATGGTGAGGGAGAAGCCCGTTTCCCTTGGCCCTCGCCAGTCCTGTTTGCTTGCTTGCTTGCCAGTGTATCGGGGAAAAGGAAGCTGGTGGTAGGAGGTGACCCACGATCAATGCCGGCTGTGGTGCCTTCCAGCAGAGAGGGAGGGGTGGGGGTGTAATCTTCCACTGTTTGTAGCATAGCTGCATGCATTGTGCGGGGTTTTTTATTGTCATCAGGGCAGTGTTTACTCAAGAGCAGCCACTGAAAGCAAGCATGCAGGTTTTTAGCGGCCCCAGATTGCAATCCTTTACACAGGGTTTGCTGCCCATTGACTTCAATGGGATGTAAAGTAAAACTGAGTGTCTGGCTGTTGGTTTTCTTGAATTCATGTGCTTTGGTTGCTTGGGTTCTGGATGTACCGGTAGCTGTCTGCTCTCTGATTCAAACCTATGGTTGTAGTGCCTGTGATGCATGTAGCTCAGTGGGTTGTTAATGCTTCTGTGACCATTAATGTATGTTGTGAGCTGGGACTCTTGTTGAACGGCTGCTTGAATGAATGACTGAATGAATACATAATGTTGAAATCATGCTGAAGTCTTGGTTGAGATTACCATGAAAGCTTGGCGCATTATTTATGAATTTGCAACTCCTATCATGTGCTAAGACTTAATCGTACTATACCAAATTCCTAGCAAATCTTCTAAAATCTTATGCTGTTAAGTCTAAAACAGCATTTTTTAACATAAAAAAGTAGAACCATGTGTTTTAGTCTGAGATGTCGTAAATATTGACCTATTTTATGTCTTTCTTTAGCAATGGCGTATGTTAAAGAAAACTGTCTGATATGTTTACGCACAGTGTTAGGTCATGTTTTACTTTTACTTTTACTTCTGATAATAGGAAGTACAGCCACATTTCTATATGAAGGTACTCTGGGGTCTCTGCCGGATTGCCAGAGCAATCCAAACACATGGCAGGTAGCAATGGAGCAGTGTAGCTACTGCCGCATCCAGAGCCCCATCATTCAAGTTGGCCTATGTAGAATGTGGAGGGGGAGTCACAAACTGTTCCAGGCTATGCCAACCTGGACTTGATGTAGCAATCTGGCCTGAATTGGGCCCGGTGCCATCAAGTGATAGTAGTGGAGCTGGCTTGGGATTCAGTGGCTCCCAGGCTGGCTGAGCCCTTTCTCTGGAGCACCCTGTTTTGGAACATTCTGCAGACTACCATTGGTAGAAAGCTTTCCAACAGGTGGAACAGGGATATCTGTGCCAGCTGAGTAAAGCTAGTGTCACTCCTTGGGCAGAGCCTGATGGAGCTGGTCTAGTCTGGGCTTTCACCCTCCTGTAGTGGATTGCAGATTTGGGTTAGTACATTACTTACTCAGTGGGGGGGGAGGGGAATTGACATTTAGGATCCTTTCTAATGAGCTAAAGCTCCCAAATTTGATATGTATGTAGAATAAGACATCCTGATTATTAGAAATATCTGAAAAGGGAACACTTGTACACCTCTCTCTGAAAACTGGAGGCTAAAAATGCACCCCAGATTGTTAAGGTATTTCCAGACAACCTGAAAAGGTAGAATTTGGCACACAGATAGCCTGAGGTATTTGAATTACTTGGAAAGTCTAATAAGATATTTGCACAAATCTTCTAAAAAGAGAGACAGTGAGTGTGTCACCAGATGGTTAAAGCATTAACAGCGTGGGGGGGGTGTCCTTCTTAAAAAGGTATATAATGCTCAGAACACCTCATGAGTACAAAAGCCTGAAAATGAAAACGTACACCTACTATTCAAAATAGGATATAAAGCTTGCCTTCTAATAGGGACCAACATTTTAACAAATTCAGTCTGCATATGCACCTTGGAGCTGTGGAACTTCCATTGCTTCTTCAGGTTTGATTTGGGAAAGTTCAACAAAAACCATCTGTACTTGCACAGTCAAAACTTAATTTGTGAGTATTTTAAAGTCCATTCATTGGTTCTTTGTGCCACCATGTTGCCAACAACCTGGTCTTTCTGCAGCATTTCTTTACATCACCCCCTGGCAGTCTCACAAGTTCCTGTTGTGAGGTTTGAGTTTCTGATTGTAATAAAAGGTGGTTAAGTGAATTTTTCTGTGCTATCTTAGGCAGAAGTTAATCCTATTGAATTCAGTGAGACTTACTGACAAGTGAGAGTGTGTAGGATAATGGACTTACTGGTTTGTAAAATTTCCATCATGCCTGTTGCCATAAAGTAGTCTCAAAGTGACTTACAATAGTAATGGAATTGCCCCATTATGAGTCTTAGGATACTTTGATGAAGACACATTGCATTATTTTCAGCACAACATTGTCTGATGCTTGTTAAGAATATAAGACTTGTCTTCTTGAATCAGATTAAATTTCCATCTTATCTTGCACTCTGTCTTTAGCATTGCAGTGATGCTGAATGAAATACACATACCCTATTGTCCTTCCCTCCCCCTAAGTTTGGTAATCAAATGTACATTGCCCCTGGGTAATAAATTTTCATTCTTGGTTATTGTTAGTGAACTTCTGTGAGAAATGATGCTGATTAGTAGAGCTCTCTCTGTTATCTCTAGGATATGAACACAGGGATTGGAAGTCCCAATACAAGCTGGAGTTTCAGAAATCTTAAGCACTCATTATTGCTGATGTAAGGCTGCCTGTTGATCAGTTCTTCATTATGAAGGGCTGAAACAGATATGTTATTCACACAATTAGTAATTCCCACCTCATGACTTCCATTAAAAAAAACAAAAACCACATAGTTGCTAATTATATAAGTAAAATCACATTTACTTTGGTGCTTTTGTGGATCAGAGATATAAAACTTTGTTTATTTCTTGAGTCCTAAAGAGGAGAGAAAGCATTTAAGGCTACACAGTAAAAGGATGCACATTGGTTAGCTCTTTTTAGATGAAATACTAGTAGGACAAAACACACAAGGATTTAGTCAGTAAGGCAAAAGAAATTTCAAAACGCATGTGCATCTACTTTATTTGTCCTGTGATCTTAAATTGTGCTTGATTAGTTCTATTACAATACCCAAATGCAAGCTCATGTTTCTAGAATATGGCTTGATTGCTGACTTCAGACAATCTGGTTGTCATAGTTCTCCAACAGGCACACAGAGACTGCAATCCTGTGAACCCTTCGTATGGGGTAAGCAGTATTGACCACATTGGAATTCTGAGTAAAGATGCATAGGATCACATATTAGTGTGCAACACCCCCAAGCTCCTGGAAAATAGTAAGAGGAGAGATTTGGGAAAGCTAACTTAAGAAATTCCACATTTTGGAAGCCTCCCATATAAGAGCTGCCATGATTCTTGCCACCTGAATCTGAACCTATGGAGGCCTTGGATGTCATGACCTTATGGGACGAAATGGGGTGGCCACCATAGTATGGCATAGGTATATCACAATATATGTGCTTTGGTGCAGTGGTAGAATATTCTTTCCCATGGTATCTGATCCTGGATAACCCACCAATTACCTTGCTAGAAAACTGGTTGACATGGTGATTGGATGAGATACTTCCCACAAGTAAAAACAGTTAATTCAGGGTAAGAGATGGAACATCATAAACACAGACCTCCTAAAAATATGTTTAGACAAGATCCTTTCTCTGGACATTAACATGGCTTCAGAAGCAGTGGACTCTGGGATGCCTGCCATATCCATACGAACATTGGCTTCCTGAGCTTCATGACAGAAAAAGAGAAGGGTTAGTGGAAGCAGATAGAAAACATATACCAAGAAAATACATGAGGCTAGCATGTGTTGGGAGGTCAGCACCCCTGATGAGCTCAGATGTTGTCAATTGACTGTTGTCATGCAAAGGTATAAGCACCTGTGGAGATGCTGGCTTAGTTATGCCAGAAGGATGAGAATTAAACAGTTTGCTACACTGTGAGTGGGATGTGGGTGGCACTGTGGGTTAAACCACAAAGCCTAGGACTTGCCAATCTGAAGGTCGGCAGTTTGAATCCCCATGATGGGGTGAGCTCCCGTTTCTCGTTCCCTGCTCCTGCCAACCTAGCAGTTTGAAAGCACGTCAGAGTGCAAGTAGATAAATAGGTACTGCTACAGTGGGAAGGTAAGCGGCATTTCCGTGCGTGGTTCACCAGAAGTGGCTTAGTCATGCTGGACACATGACCCAGAAGCTGTACGCCGGCTCCCTCGGCCAGTAAAGTGAGATGAGCGCCGCAACCCCAGAGTCATCCGCAACTGGACCTAATGGTCAGGGGTCCCTTTACCTTTTACACTGTGAGTAAGTGAGGTGAGTCTGAATGGGAATGGATGATGCTAGGAGTCCTGCTGACTTCTGCTTTGTGCTCTCTCCCCATCTCCCTCCCTCTCTCTCTTCCCACTAATTCACCTCGCCTTCTGGGCACATTTACTTCACCCATAGCATTTGTCAAGAAAGTACAGCTGACAGATAGATAGAGGAGATTAGATCTCTGGTGTTTATGGCACAATGAGATGGGATTACAAGTGTTAAAAACTAACATGTTTTGTTATTGAAAGCCCTTCTCAAGCTACCTAGAAGTGAAATAATGAAATGTGCTCAAAACATGGGCTGAGCCAAACATCTTCTAATAAAAACTTTGGCATAAGAGGGACCTTTTGGGGGCCCTTCAATCTTTACTGGAGAAACCCTTACTATGGTTGTGCTCTACAGCCCCATTAGTTGCCATATTTTGTTTGAAAAATGAGCCCCTTTATCCTAATAACAGCTAATCAGAATTGGCTGTGTGATTATGATGATGTTGGTGGCAAATGAAGCTAGTTTAGAATGTGGGCATTGTTTAGTTTGCCTTTGGTGATGTCACAGGTGCCAAATCTGACTGGCTGTGTGATGTTACAAGGAAGGAGAAAAAGGAGATTTTTGAATTTAAAAAAATGGTGCCCAGCCAGTCAAGGCTGTGGAGAGGCAGCTCACACCGTAGTGCTGCTATCCACCAAATGCCAGATATATGGGCTTGTGGGTTGCTTGACATGTGTATCAGGAAGTGCACCTTCTCTCTGCGGTCCCTGAAAATAATGTCCTTAACAATGTGTTGGGGTATACACAAGTTATTGACCCTTTCCCCATGCATTACTTGAACCACCTAATTAGACCACAGAAGGGTTGGTTTGTTGTTTTTGTTTACATGCTGCATTTGTTTATTTTGTGTTGTCACAGTGATAACAGCAATCTACTTGCACACTCAGCATCCTTGTGAGATACCCTGGCAATACCTTGAGATTCTTTTGTTTTGCCTTTCTGGTACAGCAAAGCAGTAATAATGTTCAAAATGTTTTTGCAGTGGTAAATAGCACTAAATCCTTTCCCCGACTGCAAATTATGGTGAAATTATCATAGTGATATTAAGCAACTTTATTTACAACACTTCAGTGTTTCGTGCTGTTTAGTGTTCTGTTGCTTGGTTTTATTGTGTGCACCTGCTTTTTCCTATGTAACCTCTCCTTGAAACACCTGGTGATTAAGGGTGGGAAAGAAATAGTATTAAATAAAGGAATAAATACCTTGACTGGGGTTTATTATAGACAGAGGAACTAGTTGAAATAGGTGGACAGTGACAGGACATTTTCAGTGTTTTCAAGAATTGTAACAACATTGCAAAAAAAGGAAAAGAAGAAGTTTCTTTTGGACTGCTGCTTGTAAGATGGTAACAAAGAAATAGCTTAAAGTACTCAAATTTCATGCAAGTGAATCTACATGTATCTGCAATGTTCTATAACACTACCACCGCCAGCATATACAAGAAGAAAGCTAGAAAGAAAAGAAAGACTTGTGTGTTTTTTAACAAGGATTAAGAAATATACAAACTTTGCAAGTTTTAGTCTGAAGCAACTTTTTGGACATCTGAACACCTAGGGTGTGTGTGAGTTTTCCTATTACAGTGGTACCTCGGGTTAAGTACTTAATTCGTTCCGGAGGTCCGTTCTTAATCTGAAACTGTTCTTAACCTGAAGCACCACTTTAGCTAATGGGGCCTCCCACTGCTGCCACACCGCCAGAGCACGATTTCTGTTCTCATCCTGAAGCAAAGTTCTTTACCCGAGGTACTATTTCTGGGTTAGCAGAGTCTGTAACCTGAAGTGTATGTAACCCGAGGTACCACTGTATTGACAAGGGCTTTGCATTATGAGAATACAATAATGAAATTGTTTATACCAGTCTGGTATTTAACCACTCGCCTAGTCGCAGTAGGCAACATGGAAGCCACCACGGGCAGCTCACTTACCATATTTTTCGCTCTATAAGACGCACCAGACCACAAGATGCACCTAGTTTTTGGAGGAGGAAACCAAGAAAAAAAATATTCTGAATCTCAGAAGCCAGAACAGCAAGAGGGATCGCTGCACAGTGAAAGCAGCGATCCCTCTTGCTGTTCTGGCTTCTGGGATAGCTGCGCAGCCTGCATTCGCTCCGTAAGACGCGCACACATTTCCCCTTACTTTTTAGGAGGGAAAAAGTGAGTCTTATAGAGCAAAAAATACAGTAATTTCTTTGCTGGGTGCAGAGGAAGCAAAGGGCACTCCTTCACACCTGGTGCAGAAACACAAGGCACTGCCAGAGGAGGAGCAGAGTGTTGTATCTCTTCTTGCAGCCGGCAGGCCATTCACCTACATATAATTCATTTGCTACGGCAACCAGGTCAAAGACAAGAGTGATACATGCAAGGCAGCTTCTCTTCCAGACTCCACTGCCTACCTGTCCTTTTGTCTGCTGCTTTCCTTCACCTTCATCCCAGCCCCCTTCAGTTAGGTATCTGAGCTCATACCTTGCATTTTGTGACTGGATTGATTGATCTGTGATTCCATCCCAGTGCTCCACTCTTGCTCTTATTCCAGCTGCACTGTGCATAGCAGCTGACAGCAGTTGACCTATCCTTTACAATGTGGACACACCCATGGCCATGCACCCTGCTCCCACATTTGGACTATGGGCCAGATATGAAAAACAAAAGCTAACACGAAACCAGGTAGAATAATGTCTGGAGGAAGCCAGAGAAAGCTGTGGGCGCACAGAAAGAAAACCTCCTTCTTCCTGTTAGCCTGTGTTATGTCCTGAAGTGAGCAAGCATGCACCTCCTGCTTTCACCTGCCCAGTGACGGAATGCAGTCTGTAAATTCAGAAACAGGCATGTGCTAAGCAGGCCTGGGATTAAGTCAGATAGGAGAAATCACATGGTCAATAGAATGAAACTAATATCATGTGACTCGGAATGCAACATCATTGCCTATCACTGTAAACAGAGCATGCCTGGTTATCTCTAGCAGTGAAGGACAGCTGCAAAAGCCCATATAGTAAAGATACCACACACGGGCTTTCTTGAGATTAGTTGTTTTTAAACTGCACCAGTATTCTGTAAGAAAGCTGAGGAAACATTTTCAAACCTTTTATTGTAGAAAGGAATACAAGTAGCAGTCTGTTCTTATGTTAAGTGGTGCTTTAACATTGAATAAGCATTTAGGTTTTTGACATATATATATATACTGGTTTACTAAAATAAAATAAAAGTATTATTGTGGCTTAGAGTCAGTTTGTAACTCTTATTCCATTATCCAATGGCTTCATCAGAGTGTCGTAAATTCTGCCATGGTACAACAATATCAACTGCATATATGTCTATATATATGCTTTATTGGTTAGCAATTTATGTATGCTTGCTCTGCTACTTGCTGCATATTTAACTATTACTTCACCCTAGCTTTTCATTACTTGAAGTTCCATAAAAGCACTTAATATGGAATGCCATTTTAATCATCTGAAAATGGAATTTTGTTTATTTTATGCAGTACTCACATTCAAAGTAACCAGTTATGTGCAACAATCCAAGCTGGTTATTAGGTCATTTTAGAAACTGACTACTGAAATACCATCAGATAAAAGAACAAAACTAGAACAGTAATAAATATCTAGTTCAGATAACTGGAACCAAAATTTTAAGGACTGGGCTACAGGATCATACCATCCTCCCATCTTCTGTCTATTTTCCCCTGCCCTCCTTCCTAGTTTCATCATTAGATGCTCCTAAACTTAGTTCACACATGTATGTAGTTTTCTGGATTCATCTACACTTCATAAGTAAACACTTGCTGATAGGCAACTGAACGTTTGAGCTATAGAGTGATGTTTATCAATTCCTAGAACTGTGGAAGCTGGAAACTGATGTACTGAATATGGCATATAAAGATAAGCTGTGTGTAGAGCTCATGGTCTAGAAAAGCTTCCTACACTCTTATGCTAGTGACTTGGAGAACTTTCTTATGTGCAATCTTGGCTACCTTTTTTTGTCTAAATTTTGATTAATCGTTTCAATCAATTTCTTCTTTGCAGCCTTAAATAATGAATTATGTGGGGCAGCTTGCAGGCCAAGTTCTGGTGACTGTTAAGGAACTATACAAAGGAATCAATCAGGCGACGCTCTCAGGATGCATTGATGTAATTGTAGTTCGGCAACAAGATGACACATACCTTTGCTCCCCATTCCATGTCCGATTTGGAAAGCTTGGTGTCTTACGTTCGAAGGAGAAAGTTGTGAGTATCATGAATGATGGGGACCTTGTAATGAAAATTATTTTGCAGTTTCGTCTATGTAAATCTATTTTTGAAAGGGGGGGGAGCTTTAAAAGGGAATGGATACATTTGAGATTTGATACAGGATGACTTGATTTAAATCAAAGTTCCTACTGTTACCGCATTTCTCAAACAATGGTGCAGATCTGAAATCTAAGCCACTCTAATTTATGACTAAATAGAGTATTATTAACCTTGTTGTTTCGTTAGTACAACAAAGACTTGCATCTCTTTGTTGCGTGCTATATATTTTGCATGCATTTCTCTTTTTAACCTACAGAGGAGGGGGATGTCTTTAAACTATTGTAGGGCTGATCTTATGACTAGCAGCCATGAGAGTTTGTGAAGTTAAGTATGAAAATATAGGAACTGTTGACAGCAAATGCCATACATTCATTTGGATTTTGTCTGTCTGATCTACTGTTACTCAATTTCACTGGGAAACTAGAGCCTTCATAGTAATGGGAGTTCTAGTAGAGAGGGAGGAAAACTTTTCTGTCCACTTTCTCTACACTATGCACAATTTTATAAACCTCTCTCCCATGCTTCTCCTTTGCCATTTTTCTAAAATAAAAAGCTTCAAATAGTCAACTTTCCTCAGGCCCCTGATAATGTTAGTTGCTCCTTTCTTCGTCTTGTCCAGCTGTACAAAATCATCCTTCAGAAGAGAAAACCACAACTGTGCATGGCATTCCAAGTGTGGCCACACCATATATTTATACAAAGGCATTATGATTTTCAGCCTCTCTTTTTTTTAATAATCTCTAGCTTTGGTGGGTTTTGTTGGGGAGTATAGAAACTTCTCACTCAGCAGACATGAGTGGATGTTTTCATTGAGCTATCCATAATGATCCCTGGTTTTCTTGGTTAGTTGCTGCTAGTTCTGGCGTAAAATGAATGAATCTCCTTAGTCATGTTTAGGAACTCCAGTGAAATGAACAATGAGTCAGTGTTGTTGCTCCGGATGAGCTGCTCAGGAAGGTGACAAGGAATGAGTGCTTTGTCATGGATTCAGCATTAGGTGACTCTGCCCCTGCAGATCACATTTGGCTTTGGGCAGCTAGGTTGCAGCTGGGCCAAACAGCTGCTGATACACGATACAGCAATGGTCACAAACCTGGATTACTTTAAAAGTCATGGAGGATAAGGCTTCCAGTAGCTATTAGACATGATTGCTGTGTGCTACCTCCAGCATCCAAGACTGCATGGCTCTGCATACCAGTTTCACAAGTAGGGAGAGTGCTTTTGCTCTCATGTCCTACTTAATAGACTTACCATAGGCATCTAGCTGGCCACTGCGAGAACAGCAAGCTGGTCTGGATGGGGCTTGACCTTACCCAGCAGAACTCTTCTTAACTTCATTCTTGGTCACTGGTTCATATGAGGTATGATGCAACCTGCTGCTCTCTCACCTCTCTCTCTCAGCTTTGATGAAGGAAGTGGCTGCAGTTTCTCTTTCCTGCCTTTCTCAGTCTCTGTAACATGTGTTGGTTTATGCTAGTGGGGTTGTTACCTTCTTCCAACTTCACAAAGTTTAGATCACAGGTAATGTATGCTCTGATCAAAGTGGATAGCCAAGTACTAGAGGGTATGTCGATCATTCAGTCTTTACCCATTTGTCTCAAAGTTTAGAGGGGTGGGGATGGATAATGTAAAGAGGCAAAATATATTTTAATTTTTGTGTGTATTTTCATTTTCAAATGCTGAAAGGGTATTGTGTGTTCCACAGATTGATATTGAAATTAATGGAGAAGCAGTTGATCTTCATATGAAACTGGGTGATAATGGAGAAGCTTTCTTTGTGCAAGAAACAGAAGAAAAATTTGTAAGTAGCATAATTTAACATCCTTGTCTATTCTGACATTCTGTTGTACGTATTTTATGTAGTAGGGAGGAAATTGTGTATTGGGAAATGAGGATTTCATATAATTATGCATTTTGAATTTAGGAGCCAGGTGTTTCTTTTCCTCACTTTTTGGACGTACATGAGTGAATACTGACATTCATATCTAAGTGACAATGAAAAGTCTTAGGTATGTCTGTTGAGTTTCTGAACATCACAAAATGGATCTGGAATTACCTGCATTTACATGGGAATTTATACATTCACTGTGATTTCAATATACTATATACTAAATTCCAATATAATTCCAATATAGTGAATATTGTAATAGTTTAGTAGTGCATACATAATGTATGTAACTGTTATTCTTGCCCAAATCATTTTTTTAGGAAAGAGTTCCTGCACATCTTGCAACATCCCCAATACCTACAGAAGACCAGTTCTTCAAAGAAACTGATGATCACTTGCTGAAATCGGGTGACAATGAACGGATGTGTCTAAGCTCAGAAATACTACAGATTGTGGAAGCAGAGCCTTTTTTCCCCTCTGGGTCAGTGAAGAAGAAAAAGCGAAGGAAAAGAAAATGTAAACAAGATGCCAAGAAGGAAGATCAGATCTCTGTTCCTGGAACTGAAGAAGGCTTTGAAATGGAAATTAGCTCAGATGATGAGAGAAGTATTCTGCCTCTGAGGTAAACTTTTTAAAACTACCTTCTTATTTGGCTAACCTGTTGAAATATAAAAAGCTCAGTAATTGTATTTGTTTTATATTTGGCAACAGTGCGAAATCCTACCAGGAAAAAAATCCCCCAGTTGTTTAAATATTCAGCTACTTAATATTTGGAAATTCAGATTTGGAGTTTGTAATAACTTATATCTACTTATAAATCAGAAAAGCAGACAATAAACTAGGGTGTGGTCTTTAGTAAGAAATATGCTGATATGGCAACTGAATGTTCTAGTCACACAGTCAGGCACTGATAATTATCCTTCAGGTTGTATTTCTAATGTTAAATAAGAAAAGCAAATACCTGCAATAAATATATAATTTTAACCTATATCTAAATTGCATTGCATAAGTTTTTAATTTGTAAAGCATTACTTTTGAGAACACTTAAACCCCATTTCTCAATCGGAAAATGTTTCATGTATTGTAGTTGCTGGAGACCTTCTAATTTGTAAGTCATTAAATATGTTTGTAATTTTTTTCCTGAGCAAGTCTTGGTTGTGGTGTACGAGTGCATGCACACACGCAACAAACTAGATAATCATGAAGGGTGAGACCCACAAAGAAAACACAGTCTGTCATATGGATAGGGAAGTCGGCACCAGAGTGAATGTGATCTAGTTCTCATGGTTTTCTATCCAGCCTCCATCATAACCCCTACACATACTATTACATACTTCAGCCACTTTCTTCCAAGAAGCAAAGACTCTTTAATCCTTCCAAGCATGTGTACAATAGTGAACAGCTTTGGCATTCAACAAAAAGAGTTCTTCCAAAGCCCCTGTTGCTGTTTACTCTGGGAGAAATGGAGTTAGAGAGTCCTTTGCTTGTGTCTCAGCTCCTATGGATGTGAGTCAGTGGGGCTGGATCTCCAGGTCTTGCTCAAATCAGAATATGGATCACGTTGAAAAGTTGCTTATGGAAGTGTTGGTTTCTCCTCAGGTTGCTTGGAACTCTTCAGTTAAAATACATCACCAGGGTTTTTTTCTGTGAGCCCCCTTTTAAATATAGTCTCATCTCCACAGGAACCCATCAGATTCTCCACCAAAGGATGAAGAGTATAAGGAATCATTGATTTACCACGCAAAGGACCATTACCCTTTATCAGATGGAGACTGGTCTCCTTTGGAGAAGTAGGTCACTTTCATGTGTCACTCTTTTTAATGTACTGAATGTTGGTGTTACAGCACATCTGGACAAACCCTGGCTCCCATGGGACTCTCCAGAGTATTCCCTGTGATCTCCAGGATGGAGAAAGAGAAGAGTTGGGCTCCTCACTCACATCTGTGGATTTCTCCCGGCTGAGGATCTGGAGCAAACTGGGGAGGGAGGGAGGCAGAAGCAGAGCAGGCTGATAGTAGTTGGTGGCTGGGCATCCCAAGGGAAGATTGACTGGCAGGGAGAGAACGCTGAATGATGGAAAGTGGGGAAGAGAGTTGGTGAGAGAGAAGGGGTGGTTGGTGGTGGTGGTGGGGAAAGTGTGCACCAGAAAGCATGCATAAGAGAGAAGGAAAAAGCAAAAAAAAGGGGTTGTTTTCTCCAGCTTTGGCCCCAACCACTGCTGATCTGTCTCTTCCCCCGGCCCCACATGCATTGCACATGCCCCCATGGGAATGTTGCTCTTGACTCAGAACAGATTGCCTACTCTTGTAATAGAGATCAATGCTTCTTGTGAGGCTTTTCTGGCATAAACATTACATTAGGCATAACACTGGACTATTGAAACATGGGCAATACTTCTGTGGCTTGCCATGTTTCTATGGATAGTGTACTCTGGCAGTTAACTTAAGCTGTCCTTGCCCCAACCTCTGATACTAGACATTTTTCAGAACCTCTTACCTTAATAACACCTGGAAGTTCCATCTGGTATTAACTCTATAGACACTTTTCTTCAAATTGGCTGAGAAGAACTAGGGCTTCTTTGCTGTGTAACTGACCAAGTAAATTATGTGGGGAAGGGGTAGAATGGCAATAGAAATGAGGGTAATCTATGATCACAATGGAAAAGTCAGTGGATTTTTGCCTGCCATCTATCTCCTTGATTTGAATGTGTGTCTTGAAAACTGCTTCCTTTCAAGAAAAAGAAAAAAAAAGAAGTAGGCTGCAAATGGACCAAGAAATCTAACTTGGTTTTGCAAGTTTCCATAAATATCCTTGAATTACCACTCATGCACTATGCTTCGATTGGAAGTCCTGGATGTGCTTACATGAGTACATGCTTGTCTTAAGTTGAAAATGTGCTCAGTCATTTTTGTTTTAAGCCTGCAGAATAGGGATATATTGTTGAGAGAGAGAACTTGCAACTATAATTATTTTGCCTTGTGAGAACAGTTATGTTGAAAATGTTTAAAAAACACCTAATGAAGAAATCTGTTTAGAATGGCCAACATTAACTACTTTATTGTGATTTTTAGTTTTCCTCTCCTGTTGCCTCACAGTTTGAAAGCCCAACTTGGCTTTCTGTATAAGTGAAGCTTTGTTAAACTGGAGAAAACAGTCCTTGAAAAGATCTGAACAACTCATGCCTTGAAACACAATAGCTTTGTTTTATTTTGACAGCCCATTTAGCCAGCCAGCTTGTCCTAAAAGTGATTCAGAACTTGAAGTTAAGCCTACGGAGAGCTTACTCCGAGCAGAGTCTCACATTGAATGGACGTGGGGAGGGTTCCCAGAATCTACCAAGGTAAAGTTATTTGCAAATACAAGTTTTTGGAGGGAAGGTTTTGATAATGTCATGAGATTTTCTTTTTATAGGTTAAAAAGTAGCACTATTATGGAGACTGTTCCAATAGAAATAGCACGAAGGTAGCTCCCTCTTGTGGTTCATTGTTGGTACTTCTCTAAAAGCAGGCGAACTTTCCAGCATTGGCTGTGATTGACCACAGGAATCTTACATGGCTCCTGCTGCAGAATTTTGTGCACCTGAAGTCTAATGGTTAGTGTTACAATGTAAAAACACCTACATCATTAACGCTTGGTGGTGTGTGGATCATGGGCAGCTAGTGCTGGATTTTGTGTCACATTTGATGATAGTTTGCAGTCCAGATGAATCATTTTCCTATTCTGCCTTGAAGGTCCAGATTTTTTCTTATGGTTGACTGTGCCTAAGTGGCTTGGGTACCATTGTTAATGAAGGTTAAACCTGTGTCTGAAGTAGCCTGTTCCAACAGACCAGTATTAGCATCAATGTCTAGTTCACTGTGAATAGGATGGATTTTATCCCCAAAAGTGCTTTGCAAATGTGTCGCAGAATGATTTTTTAATATGTATTTACCACCTGGAAGAGCTCTACTGGATTTTGCTATATGAGGAGATGCAGTGGTGTCACAAAAGTGAGCACACTGTGCCACCATCATGATCACAAAATGCGCACAATATTTTGTTCTTCCTTCTGTTCAGTCATAGTCTATCTGAAATTTGCTTGGGAGCAATCCTGTCATGAGCCATTCCATTGTGAAACTCTAGATTCAACAGCAGTGCCAGGCCTGTCAGCTGGAAACGGACAAGAAACCTCTAGAGCATTTAGGCATCCATCAGATTCCATCAGTCTCCAAGGGTGGGGCATCTTAATAGTTCCTTCCGCTACCTACTGACAAACCGGACTTCACCAGAATGTGGTGTGACCATGACCATGGTTTGCTCAGCACCCTGCTCTCAACTCTCACCAGTGACTCCTAGAAGCTGTCAGCATGTGACAGCAGCCACACCCCTAGAAACAGCTTGGACTGGCCGTCTAAACCAGGAGAGGGTAGCCGATGGGTCTTGGACCCTCGATGAGTTAGGGACTTCCCTGCATGCCAAAACGGGCTCTAGTGGATTGAGTGGACAACACCAATAATGAGTCCACCTGTCAGGAAGATAGTTTCTGCACATGCTATAGAGGGAAGTGAGGTGTAGAGGGGAAGTTGGCCCATCTAGGAAAACTCTGATTCTAAGCCTCTGCTGCCTTGTGTGATTTCTTGGGAGAAGAAAAGGCTAAGGAGTAAACCCTACTCAAAAGTGGAGTCCCTAAGACAGTTGAATGGTGTCTTGTACACCTCCTTTCAGAAACTCCTGCAGCCAAGCTGGTGCCAAACATATTGCTCTCAATTCTTTTGGACCACATCAGCAAGGCTGAGATAGGGATCTTGTTGTCTGGGCAGCCCAGGACCTCCATACACATTGCCCAGGCTTGCACCCTGAGGAGGTGTACTTTGATGCTGCTAATGCAGCAGTTTGACTTCACCCCCCAGACTTCACTCCATGGTCTCTCTAGACAGATGGGTGCCGACAACTTGACCACAGCATTATAAGAAGCTCCCTAATGCTTGGGAGTGTGTAAGTTTTGTGGAGTGATTTGCAAGGCTGGATTAATGTACAAACAATTGGTACATCTTTCCACATCTGTCTATCAACTATGCTGCCCATTGACATTGCAGAGTCTTGTTTTATATTTGGAAAATAAGGTGCCGTAAGGATGCAAAAACTCTTCAGTTGAGGTGGACTTCTATTGATCTAACACACACACACCCTTCTGAATTCTGGAGGAGGGTGGGACACAAGCTTTATTGAAATGCTAAATTAGAACCACTTTAAGCTGTTGGAACTGAATCATGCCGATGATGAATGAGATCAAAGCATTATTGTTTTAAAATGGTGCTTTTCTTTTCAGATAAGCAAGAAGGAAAAATTGGAACATCCCAGAACAGTTACAATCACTCCATCAGAGAAGACGCACTTCAGGGTAATATCCAGCAGTGATGCAGCTGAAGATGGAATTTTGGTGAATGATTCTGTTTGTACAGTAGTAAAGCCTGAACCAAGAACACACCATCTACTTAAGAAGCTAGATATTAAAGAGAGACTTGCTTCTACAGCCACAGAACCAATTTTGGACATTCTTCAAGGTTCATTGGCATTAGATTCTGATACTCTTCCCAGTCCATTGATAGATTCTCCAACAGAAACTAAACCACCAGCAAAACTTGATTCCCCATCAAAGAAAAAAGGTAACATATTTTTAATTACCTGATAAAGTGTTGACATACTTTCTCTTTTACCCCAGATTCCACATATTTAACCATTTTTCAAGAGATAAGTAACAAATATGTTTGCTAGTCCTGCTTGCAGCTGTTCATGTAAAGAATACTGTAGTATAAATAACTAAATTTCTGGTTCATACACAAAGTTTTAAGTTTCACAAATGAAGCTTAAATCATTTATGTTACTTCATCTGTAATGCAGATGATAAAATTACATTATGTAAAATGTTATTTTGATTCATCATAATAATAATAATTTATTTTTTATACCCCGCCCATCTGGCTTCCAACAAAATATTAAAATACAGAAGTCTGTCAAACATTAAAAACTTCCCTAAACAGGGCTGCCTTCAGATCTTTTCGGGTGGGGGGGTCTGTCTTGTCTTTTAGCACATATATTTAAACAGCTTAAATGGTCTGAAAGCCAATTTCAGCAGAATGGGTAAAAGTGCCCCTAAAAGTAGCTTGTATTGTAATTATGTAAATGGAAGGAAGTTCACAGAAGAGGGACTTGAGTGTGTCTTCCTCTCCCTTACAGCTTGCTGTGCCCCTCCAAAAGTCTCTCTAGAGGAACATAGGAAGCTGCCTTATACCGAGTCAGGGCTATTGGTCAGTGTAGCTCAGTATTGTCCACATGGACTGGCAGCGTCACCCCAGGGTTTCAGACAAGAGTCTCTCCCAACCCTTCCTGGAGATGCTGGTGATTGAAGCTGGGACCTTCTCAGGACAAAGCAGATGCTCTTCCACTGAACTATGGCCCTTTCCTGTAGAGCAGTGTTGGCCAAACTTGGCCCTCCAGCTGTTTTTGGACTACAACTCCCATCATCCCTAGCTAACAGGACCAGTGGTCAGGCATGATGGGAATTGTAGTCCCAAAACAGCTGGAGGGCCAAGTTTGGCCAACACTGCTGTAGAGGAATGGATATGGGATATAGCAGACTCCTAGGATAGGAAGGAATGACTCAGAATTCAGTTGAGACATCTTGCATGGCTCTTTGATTAACTTTCAATGGGAAGCAACTTTTATGTGGAGGCTGCAGTCTGCTTTAAATACATTAATTAATTGTCCTAAATGAATACCTTTTTTTTTTTAAAGGGATACATAAGAGAAGTCATCACCAAGGGCCTGATGACATATATTTGGATGACCTGACAGCTTTGGAACCTGAAGTTGCTGCTCTTTATTTTCCCAAAAGGTATTTCTTAATTGACAACACACAGATAACTGACAGAACACACAGATATTTCACAGTAAAACATGCAAGTAATGTGTATTTCTTTAAATCAATCATTGTTCCCTGTTTGTTTTCCCTTTTTCATGTAAGAGAAAAATCTTAAAAATAAGATAGTTGTAAAAACTTTGTTTAATCTGCTCCCTGCCACACCTCTTACTCAGCCACACAGAACTAATCTATACTTGTCAGTTAAAACATTATAAACATGTTATAAGCATGTGGCACCAGAGGGTGCTATAGAGCAATGTAAAGTCGTCAGTGTAAAATTGCATTGAGAGCTCTATAATGGGCTTTTTAAAAAAGCGTTTTTACAATCCAATGCAGCTGTTAGGTAAATATAATGGAGAAGCAGTTGCCAAGCCCCTTTCTAGTTTAATTTTCCCATGTTAGCAATTGTACTTGGAAAGCCAAGCCCACCTAACCACTTTTCTGAGACTTTTTAAAAAGAGCCCTGGTGGGTGCTGTTGTCAACAGAGCACAGTGTGGAGCTGGAACTTGACTGAAAGACCGCCTTTCTCTCACTCTTCCCTCAAACCTCTCCTTCACAGGCTAGTCCTATCATGAGTCAGCCTGCCTGGCAGCTCGCCTTGCCCCTCCCCACTGCCCACCAGCCAGCTTGGGACATGGGGAAGAAGCCTGCCGCTGTCAGCGTTCCGGAGTCTCTGTTAGCTTCTGTTATGCTGCGTGTGCTGAAAGCAGTGGGGGGTCCCTGAGCACTGGTTCTCTTGCAGCGTGCCAGAACACAGCAGAAGCCAACAACCATATCTGGAAGTGCTGGCAGCAGGCACTGCATTGGAAGCTCCTGGCAACCTTTATTAATCAAAATCACATTATCTTCAGAGGTGCAGGGAAATTGAGGGGGAAATTGCAGTATGTGGGGACAGCCAGGGGGAGCTAGACAGGGTGGAACCTATTCTGCCACTTGCTGCCTGCTGACACTGCACAAATGTGACACAAGTCTCCTCCTCCTCCTCCTCCTCCTCCTCCTCCAATATTTAAGTTGGTTGTTTTTCATTGGTTGGTTGGGGGAGAGGGTGGGGGATCTTTTTTCAGTCCAAGGACCATATTCCCTTGTGGGTAGTCTTACAGTGTTGGGCAGGGCCAGGGGGGAAAACAGGCAGAGCAATGAATATAACCCTTAAATTTCTACAATATGTTACATTTCAGCCACATGACAGGGGACTCAGTTCACATGTACATCTTTCTTCATCTTCCACACAGCCAAAAAAGAGGCATCTCCACTCTTTAAGGACACATTCAGTCAGGCAAAAGCACTCTAGGGTGTGGGTGAGGGATGTGGCTTGGAGAGGAGCATGGCCTTGGAAGTCTTGAAGCCATATAGAGATCCATCTGGCCTCTGATCCTGAGGCTTTTCTCCTGTTATAATTGATAGAATTGGTGTGTGGGTGTGTATACAGTGGTACCTCAGGTTAAGTAATTCGTTCCGGAGGTCCGTTCTTAACCTGAAACTGTTATTAACCTGAAGCACCACTTTAGCTAATGGGGCCTCCTGCTGCCGCCGCGCCGCCGGAGCACAATTTCTGTTCTCATCCTGAAGCAAAGTTCTTAACCCGAGGTAATATTTCTGGGTTAGCGGAGTCTGTAACCTGAAGCGTATGTAACCCGAGGTACCACTGTATATCTGTGTTTTACAGAGAATGTGTCATGCCTAAACTATGCAACCGTTCTGTCTCTCTCTCCTTTCCTCACGTAGCATGTAATTTACGTACAGGGCATTGTTCATGCTACGGTGATAATCTCCAGCTTATGTTACCCTGTGATTTCCTGTCAATAGGCTGCCGAAGAATACTTTGGCTGCACTTTGCTCCAGGCCTATTTAACGTAACCCTGGGATGGTTTTATGATTATTGCTGGGTCATGCTGAGTTACATATTGGTTGGATTTTTAACACATCACTGCCATGCTTGTCTATATTTGGTGTTGATATTGTGCTAAAAGCCAATTGCAGAAAGTCAGCATGTGTTGAAAAAGAAAAAAACCTACTTAATTGTACAGTGTGCCAGAACTGGAACTCACTCAGGGCAAAGTGGCTTTCTGGCAGCAGCTCATGCTGCAGAGATGGCAGAGATAATTGATGACTTGAGAAGGAGGGCACTTGAGATAGCTTCATGGAGGAAAAGCCTAAGAACTGCATAACTTAACCATGGAGCTTCCATGTTCAGAAGCAGTACATTTCTGATCATCAAATAGGTGGAGGAAAACAAGAGGTAATGGCTGTGGTCGTGCCTTTCTTGCAATCTGAGTGGTCCCTGATGGAGGGAGCAGTTCACTAAATGGGCTTCTTACATTCTTACAATATTATCAACATTAAAAATAGCAACAGCAACAAGTTATGAACACTTTCCAGAAATTTCTTATCGATAATCAACTGTACAGTAAACAGTGGTACCTCGGGTTAAGTACTTAATTCGTTCCAGAGGTCCATTCTTAACCTGAAACTGTTCTTAACCTGAAGCACCACTTTAGCTAATGGGGGCCCTCACTGCTGCCGTGCCGCTGCCATGCGATTTCTGTTCTTATCCTGAAGCAAAGTTCTTAACCTGAAGCACTATTTCTGGGTTAGCGGAGTCTGTAACCTGAAGCGTATGTAACCTGAGGTACCACTGTATCCTTGTTTGTGTATAAAAACTGTATATTTTGGGAGACAGATACACTTCTGAAGTCCAACAGCTGCCTGTCGTGTCAGACTAATTTGCTTTTTGTTAAGAAGTTTTCCTTATTCTGAGATTCATTGTGTTTTATCATGTTGTGACCTGCCCTGGACTACTTTAGAAGGAAGGGTACTATGTGAGCGCAACGAATCATATGCACATGTTTTGTTGTTCTTGTCTTCAGTGACTCTGATCCAGGTACCAGACAATGGCTGGAGTCTGACACGCTGTCGGGTTCTCAGTCGCCACAATCGGTGGGAAGTGCTGCTGCAGATAGTGGTACAGAGTGTATGTCTGATTCTGCAATGGACTTGCCTGATGTCACATTATCCCTTTGTGGAGGTCTTAGTGAAAATGGGGAGATATCAAAAGGTATGCAATAATCAGCCTTGTTTTTAATAAACTCTTGAAGTCTGTATTTTATATAACTTTGCCCTATAGGAAGCACTTATCTCAGTGCGCAGGATCAAATGATAACATATGTGCCACCATGTGTTTTTCTAAAGCTAGGCAGGAAGCTGTCTTCCCGAGTGTAATTTCCTGCTGAGATGCACCATATGTCAAATGCTATGCCATATCTGCTATTGGCTGTTTTGTGGAAGTCCTGCTTTCCATGTAACAGAGAGCTTCAAAACCCTGTGAAGTGCTTTAAGAACTTGCCGTTGCCGTTATTGTTGCTCAGTTTGATTGAGATATGAGGGTTGGGGAACTCTGTGGAACCACAGGGGGCTGCATTGGGTTGGATGGAGGGTTGAGTGAAAAGCAGGGGCCCATGTCTGCATTAGCAGAAGTGATTTCCACTTGTGCACAAACACCGTTAGTACAAGACAACTGGGCAAGTAAGTATTGAAAGAAACTTGTGTTCCAGACTTACTTTTGCACTTTTAGCAAGGTTATCAGGGAACTGGTGCTAAGCAGATGTGCATGTAGGGCAGTCAGGAAGTTTGGAAGCAAATGGTGCTGCATAGAAAACAAACTGCCATTTTAATAAGCAGAAGTTCACCACTGAACTTCTTTGGAATTGCTTTGTTGACATTTAAAAAGCAGCAGATTAACCACTGACATCTGGCTTCTTGGTATCTTGACTTTGAATTCTTCCACGTGTTAACCATGGATATACAAAGCATGAGTAAAAAGAAAGAAGAGATGGCCCCAGAAATTGCTTCCTTGTAGCAATAGCTCCTCTTGGTCCATCACACCTATAACTATATTCTGCATAAAGTAGAAATGGCAGTGTTGGACCACAACACAGTGTGCAAGCTTTTGAGTTCTACAGAACTCTTAATCAGGCTGCACACAGGCTCCAGACAAATTGCAGGTCCAGGTTGATCCAGGAGTTGTCCAGAGCAGATCAAAGCAGCCCTTGATCACCTGGAGTTGGATCCAGGTGATCTGGGGCTTTGAGTGGGGGTGGGGAGTCAGGCAAACACATGCTTAATCAGGACTTTACACCCTCATTTAATGAAGATGCATCCATTTGAAAAATTCATAATTCTTTTATACAAGAAGGACTAGGTTAAGCTAATAAGGGGAAACAAACATGCTTTAATTATCTGATAAAATGTCATTGTGTTGCAGAAAAATTCATGGAGCATATCATTACTTACCATGAATTTGCTGAAAACCCAGGACTCATAGACAATCCTAATTTGGTAATAAGAATATACAACAGGTAACATTCCTCAAATCTCCTAATTTTCCTATGCTATTTAATAATAATTTTGTCTGGTTCATCTGTATTGTAGCTGTCATTCTATTCTATTGTCCTTTAAAATTTAAAACCCCAACTTCTGTGAGTAATTCTTGCCTGTTAGCAGCATATAATGTAGAATTCATACCAAAGTTTCTTAGCGCTGCCGTGAGGCTGTTTCATGTTTACAATAAAGAGTATGTGGCATATTCATCATGCTGTGCATTTTGTAATATCCATAATGAGTAACTTTTTCTATATAAACAGGTATTATAATTGGGCATTGGCTGCTCCCATGATTCTCAGCTTGCAGGTGTTCCACAAGAGCTTGCCACAGGTAATCTAATACCAGCAAATACTCAGAAATACATTAAACTAGGCTATCCATTTTGGGCCACAGAAGCAGAGTAGAGTGGCAGAGGCCCTGTCCCCTACTTGTCCAAGGCTTCTCATGGCAGAGTTATGGAGGAAGCAAAGCATAGTAATTTGGGTATTTGGGATGTCTTCTAGCTTTGTGAAGGGAAAAGCATGAGCCTGGCAAACAGCTGTGTGAGAAACACTAGTATGCTGCTCCCAAGTTCCAAGGTACAACACTTCTGCTACTGTGGTTTGGTCCCCACCCCTCCTAATCCAGTGATTTTTCTAATGAGCTGGGAAGGAGGCATCTGCTAAGTCAGAGCACTCCATAAGAAATTATTGGCAGGTATTAGCTTGCCAAGGGTGTCCTGCAATACAGCCTTAATGGAACTTGGGCCAGGCAGTGGTAGCTGTAGTGAGCTGTTCTCTGAGGTAGCCTTTTTACCATAGGGAGAAGCCATTTCATGAAGCTCTCCCATAACTTAATTGTGCTGAACTAAGTACATTCCTGCATAGTCATGATGGAAGCACATAAACATTTCAGAGATTTAGCATAACCAAGCAATGGATAAGCACACATGAGATACCATTATACATGTTAGAACTGGATGGCAACCTTGTAGATGCACACTGATTTCATATGTTTATTAGGCTACAGTTGAATCCTGGATTAAGGATAAAATGCCGAAGAAGTCTGGAAGATGGTGGTTCTGGCGTAAGAAGGACAGCTTGGTCAAACAGGTAAAATAAAACTCACTAAAAAAACGGTGTGCATAAGGAGAAGTGCATATGAATATTCATGTGGACTTTAAAAGAATATTTGAAACCTGAAATGGAGTGAACCGAACTAAGGCTGGCAAAATCAAAATAGACAGATCCTCTATCCATAGTTTTAATTATTTATTTTATTTATTGAATTTATATACCGCCCTATACCCGGAGGTCTCAGGGTATAGATAGAGTTGTACTCTATCTTATTGGACACAGGGAAACTCAATTTTTGGTTTCTACAACATTTAGTTCTGCCTTGTGTACAGGCTCCATGGTTGAATTTCTTCAGTCTTTGTTGATTTTTTGTTTTATTTCCTCTCTGATTGAAATAACCTAAAGCACACATACGTTAAAACCAGCAATTATTATCAATTATGAGGAGGATGCTCTAGTACAGAAATCTAATTAAACCATTTATTCTGCTTTTGTTTGTTTGTTTCCCAACTGCATAATCCTTTTAAAATTTCACCTATCCTGGCCAAACAACACAACCTTACATTTTTCATTATTAATTTAGAACTTGTTATCTTGCAGTGATTTGGGAGCCTGTTCAGTTATTGTTGCCAACTGGTCTTGGGTTAGGAGATTAATAATACTGCATTCTCACTTTATAGTAAACAATTGTTATATTTTAAAAATGAGGTGAATGAAATAACACTCCTGTGAAGAAGGCTTCAAATAATTGGAATAATATTTCAGTCCTGCTGCACCTTTTGATATTTGAATTAGAGATACTACAAGCTTTTCTTTCTGATCAGGTGGAAGTGCAAAATATGACCTATGTTGATGAAGTCTTTATGTACTTTTCATATATTAGCTTCCAGAAGCTAAGGAGGGAAAATCTGAAGCTCCAAAAGGCGACCTATCAACAGCCACAAAGGAACAAGTTGAAAGCCGGTATGTTTTAAATAAGTTGTGCTTAGAGTGAACAGCTGACCTTTAGAAGAAAAGAATAGAAATTTGCTACTGGGTGATCTGGGAAGGGCTCGTGACTCAGAGCACATGTTCTTCATGCAATAGTTTCCAGGTTCAGTTGCTGGTATCTCTAGGTGGGGATGGAAGACTCCTGTCAAACACCAGAAAGCTTCTGACAGTGTGGACCAGGGCTAGGGAACCTGTGATCTTCCTAATGTTGTTGGAGTCTGGCTCCCATTAGTCCCTGTCAGCATGTCAGGGATTATGGGATTTGCAGTCCAACAACATCTCGAAGGTCACAGGTCCACACCCTTGTCACAAACAATTCTGACTTTGATGAACCAATGGCCTGACTTGATATAAAGCAGTTTCTTATGATACTTCATCAATGCAGAACAGAAATATGACCAGGTCCGGTGGGGTGTATGTGTATGCCACACAAAACTAGAATCCAGTTTAAGAAATTATGATGCTGCATAAATACACCATCTGCTTTGTAAGCTTCAAAATGTTCTGTATTGACGGGAAAGCATTAAAACTAGGATGAAATAAAAAATTATGTCTGCCCGTTGTCCCAACAGCTAAAATTGTTCAGAAAGGGGAGGTTTTGTCTGACTTGATGATGTGGGAAAATACCTGTGCTAACTGAAAAGATCTGAATACATCAGAGACTGAATATATCTTGTTAAAGGTTCATAAATATAGTTACAGTGGTACCTCTGGTTACGTACTTAATTCGTTCCGGAGGTCTGTTCTTAACCTGAAACCGTTCTTAACCTGAAGCACCACTTTAGCTAATGGGGCCTCCTGCTGCTGCCATGCCACCGGAGCACAATTTCTGTTCTCATCCTGAAGCAAAGTTCTTAACCCGAGGTACTATTTCTGGGTTAGCGGAGTCTGTAACCTGAAGCGTATGTAACCTGAAGCATATGTAACCTGAGGTACCACTGTATATTGCTTGCATTGTAAGCATGAAATAGTCAGCATGCTGTATACTTACCTTTATTTAGCATAAATCCATCTGTTCTGTCACTAAAATGGGAAACCATTAAGCTTAAAAAACAAAGCACAACCCTGATGATGGGGTTTCCTAGTTTTCTCCCACCCAGTCTAGAAAATGCTGCTCCTTCTCAGAATGGCTTAACGTGCTTTAGAATGCTTGGATCTCTTGAAATAATCTGTGAAATGTACAACATTTCTTATTGCTTGCTGTGCTTATATTGTTTTAGGCCTACAGGTGATGAATCTTCAACGGATGATGAAGGATCCCAGGAACTAAAAGAAACCTTAAAAATAGATTCCGCTTCACTTCCAAGCCATGGGAATGCTACATCTTACAAAAAGTCACTTAGATTGTCTTCAGATCAAATTGTAAGTGGTCAAATTCTGTAAACATATTGATGATTTTAAGTAGTTTGGGGGGAAATGACAAGAGTGGTTGAGAGAGAAAAGGGCCCCCTTGCTGAAATCTGTTTCTGTGTTGTTATTAATAAACCAGTTCTGTGAACTGTGTTTAGATCAATTTTTGCAACTCCTAAATAAATCCTCCTGCTCTGGAACACTCCCTAATTTCCATAATTTTGGCTCAGTGTTGCTAAGATTTCTTTGGATCTGGGTCATGGAGAGAGATGATCACGCATTATAGCAAACATGAAATCATTGTTTCCCCCTATCCTTTTCTTTCTAAACTGTGTCATGGTCATGGTGGGGGAATCCGTTATCCCTTTCTCAATGGATAGTGGCTTGGTTTGCACATCACATAATAAATTGAACCATAGTTCAATGTGGATGAGCAGCGTGTTTGTGCATGGTGCTGACATACTGGATACTTCACTCCTACCCTCCTCCTGCTGTTGCTGCACTGCCCAAAAACTAGTCATGGCCTACCTTATTGTGTCATCTGGATCCAAACTCAAAGTTTATTTCTCTCCAAACAAACCACTAATAGTAAGCCAAGAAAAGGCCTTGACTACCACTCATGGTTTATTAGATTTATTATTTGCTTTACTATTTTATATTTTCTACCAGTCACCAAACATAACTCTCATGCTGCTGTAGAAAAGAGGGAAGTTTTAACTGCAGCAGAAGCTTATCTACAATGCACAGACTGGTTAAATGCAGATTTCAGTAAGTTGTGCCATTCAGATGAACTCTTACTTCATTCCCCAAATTTACGAATGCATTTCATGTAATGGGATGACAGTGCCTTTACTTCCACCTTGGTGTGGAATCATGGTTCATAATCTAGTCTAGAGTAGGCAAACTTTGCTATCAGTTGTTACATTGTGCTGACGTAAGACTTGTATTCAATCCTGTATGCTGACTACATGATCAGTGGTAACATGCTTTCTTCATTACATCTGGTTTATCTAATTTGTAGGCAAAGCTGGTAGCTACTCTATATACTACTGCATTTAAAAAAATAATCCAGAGTTGATGAAATTCAGTGCACTAAAGGTAAAGGACCCCTGGACAGTTAAGTCCAATCAAATTTGACTATGAGGTGCGGTTCTCACCTCCGCTTTTCAGGCCAAGGGAGCTGGCGTTTGTCTGCAGCTTTTCTGGGTCATGTATCCAGCGTGACTAAACCGCTTCTGGCGCATGGAACACCGTGACAAGTGCCAGAGTGTACGGAAATGCCATTTACCTTCCCATTGCAGTGGTACTTATCTGTCACGCTGGTATGCTTTTGAACTGCTAGGTTGGCAGGAGGTGGGACAGAGCAATGGGAGCTCACCCCATTGTGCGAATTTGAACTGCTAACCTTACCATCAGCAAGTCCAATGAGGGTTGGTGGTTTAGACCACAGTGCCACCCGCGTCCTATCTTTATTAACATTAGCATTAAAATGTAAAATATCTTGGCAGAGAAATACAATATCTTTTTGGGTTAATATATTATTGTGTCTCTTTAATTTAAAGGAAAAACTGAAGCTAAGAGATGGCCCCAATGATGTTGTGTTCAGCATTACAACCCAGTATCAAGGAACTTGCCGTTGTGCGGGGACAATATATCTGTGGAACTGGAATGACAAAATAATTATTTCAGATATCGATGGAACAATAACCAAGTAAGCTGTAGTGTAGTTTTACCTCTATTAAATCACTGCACCAGTGTGTTCAAAATCTATTTGTGTCTGATGAACACTACTCAGCGACTTGGTTCTGAAAACCAATGCTTTTCCTTAAATCCTGGTAAGAAGTAGGGAAAAGTAAATTAGGAATTCAGCTTTCTGACACCTGGTAAGAGCCAGATGATATGGACTACAACTCCCATCATAATATCTGTGCTGTCCAGGACTGATGTGAGTTGTAGTCCAAAATATTTGGACTGCTCCTGGTTTGAGAAGGCTGACTTAGTTACTAAAGAGAGGTAGGCTTTGAGTTGTTGCAAATATTTCTTTGTTTAAAGAAATAATTATACACTGTCATGTCATAAAATGTGGTTTACATCAATTAAACACAAAGCTGTACAATAAAAAACATACAAAAAAGTTTTAAACAGGCATCAATTAGCTACTGTTGAATTATGTACAGTGGTACCTCAGGTTAAGAACTTAATTCGTTCTGGAGGTCTGTTCTTAACCTGAAATTGTTCTTAACCTGAAGCACCACTTTAGCTAATGGGGCCTCCCGTTGCCACCGCTGCGGTACGATTTCTGTTCTCATCCTGAAGCAAAGTTCTTAACCCGAGGTACTATTTCTGGGTTAGCAGAGTCTGTAACCTGAAGTGTATGTAACCTGAAGCGTATGTAACCTGAGGTACCACTGTATTGTTAAATTGCCTGCATAGGCTTGGCAGAATAGAAAGGTTTTCAGCAAGTATTTAAAAATTGGCACAGAAAAAGCTCTGGAGGGTCTTTTAATACCTAATGTAGAAAGCATCAATTCACACTCTTACTTCTATTTCTAACCCTCGTTCCTGGTTTAGGTCTGATGCTTTAGGCCAGATCCTACCACAGCTTGGCAAAGACTGGACACATCAGGGTATTGCAAAGCTCTATCATTCCATTAATGAGTAAGTACCTTGCTTGTAAAAGCTGCGAAACATAGGAATAATTGATTATGCTAATTCAACTAACAACTAAAGATCTAAAGTTTTGAATTCTTGCACAACACATGATCCTGTATATTCTGTATTTGTATTCTCATTGCCTTCCTATTTAGAAGTTACATTTCAAACTCAAATAACAAAGGAATTAAAATACAGAAGTTAGACATGTGACATGAGGCAAATGTAGGCCAATTCAGCACATTATCATTATTTTCTTCAGTATGCTGCAAACCCCTAGCGTTCATGAGCAGAGCTTGTGGTGCACAAAAAAAGATCAAAGGAAACTTCAGTCAAATGACTCCAGAGGAAAGGTTCCAGCTTCCTCTTTCTCCTCACGTCAGCCAAAAAGAAATGGGCATGCCTCTAAGTGGCTGCTACTGTTGAAATTTGTGGGATTGAGCAGCAGCAACAACATTGTCCATCTTCAGATTTTCTGCCTTCCATTTCCCATACTGCATGTTCCAGTAGTGGAGGCAGAAGCAGCCTGCCCATGGACTTTCTCTTTTGTGCATCCCTTCTTCGCCCTGTGACAGCTACTGCTGGTATCAAAGAGGGCCCCTCTGCTGACTTGTGTGCTCCTGGAAGCATACTACTAGCATCACTAGCAGATTAAGGCTGTACCAAAAAGATGGACTCAAGTCTAGGATCCCGGTTCATATTGAAGTAGCTATGAGTTGTGGTGGTAGTGGCAAAGCAGATTACATATAGGAGGAGTAGGAGAAGTAGCAGCAGTAGCACAAGGGGCCACACCCTATGGACAGACTACCAGCTGGAGGATATGGAATAATAAGTGGAAGTCAAGCAAGTAGATGAATACCACAGAAAGGGGGATATGGAAAAGTGAAAGCCTATGGCAGCAACATCAAAATCTTCAAGGTCTATCTGTTTCTGAGGGAGACTAAAATAGCCCAATCTTAATGTGTGTATACAGTGGGCGTTATTTCCAAGTAAGAGTTGCAGCCTAAATGCTTCAGGGAGTGTGGGGAAGAGAATAAAAGTTGAATTAGTAACCAGAGTTTTGAGAAGTTGGAACCATCTAAAGATTCAAAACCAGTTCAAACCATTTTTGTGGAGAACATTAAATACACTTGAAAGTGTTGTTGTTTTGTTGTACTTTGTCTTTTACCATTACATTTTCCACGCACACCTGTCCCCTGCTGAAAGCAGGGCTTGCAGTGGATCATTACCACCTGCAAAGCCATGCCTCTTTGCCCAGTTTGATTTCATATCATGTGGACAAAGGAAATGGGTCACAGGACATCGCAGTGCCTCACCCATTTGCCAAAGTTGGCCCTCAGGTGGTGGGGAAGGTTGCCAGCTGGCTCCAGTATCCCACCCCTGGAATATAGTCTTAAAGATGTCTGCACTGGTGCATTAGTTTCTTGGGTCAACACACCCTTCTCCCTTCCAGTTGCTTAAATGCTTTATAAAACATGAATAGCTGCCTTCTCTTTTTCAATTCATTATGATCTGACTGTGACTTCTTGGTGTGAATGGTCTACCACATCAAGAGAGATCTTCCTAATCTAGAATTTCATTCTTAGGAATGGCTACAAGTTTCTGTACTGCTCTGCTCGTGCCATTGGAATGGCAGACATGACAAGAGGGTACTTGCACTGGGTTAATGACAAAGGAACGATCTTGCCCAGGGGTCCCTTGATGTTGTCTCCTAGCAGTTTGTTCTCTGCTTTTCATAGGTACGTAAGCAAAAACACCATAACAATCTTTGTAAGGGGTGAATTTTGAAATATAACTTAAGAAGCTGAGTGAAACAAGTGTTTTTGTCATCATTTATGGTACCTTGCTTTTTATCATAGCACAACCTGTGATGGACGTAAATTGAAACTTCTAAATATTTCACTTGTATACAGTCACATGGGACTTTGTAGTATTAAAAGCCTATATATTTGATAGAACTGGAGTGGTCCACTCATGCACACCCCTTGTTTGCTAGACCTTAGTCTGATCTTATAAGAAAGTCACTATATTCTATTGAAGTGAGTGGCAATTTTTCACTTTATGTCAGAGAAAGTGAAGGGATGGTGAAGTCAGGGCGCCATTGCAGCAGAATTTAAAAGCTGCTTTTGAGCTTCCCTTTACTACACTGCAGGAGTTGCTAGCTTCTGTAGACTGTATCTGTGTTTAGTCTAGTTCATAATGGGTTTTCTGCCCCCCTGTGCAGGAATAAATAAGTAGCTGGATTGACTATGAACATATGAAGCTGATTTGTACTGAGCCTGACCATTAGTTCATCTAGCTCAGTATTTTGTACTCTGACTAGCAGCAGCTCCCCAGGGAATCAGACAGAGGTTCTTTCAACACCTTCCAGATTCTTTAATTGAGAATACCAATAATTATACCTGGGCTCTTTCACATACATATGCTCTGCCACTGAGCCCCTTCTTCCAAATGAATATGTTAAACTGTACCGTCTTTACAGCTTCATTGCAAGGCAAAAGCTGGCACATGGCAACAGCATTTCAGGAGGAGGCAATAGCTGTAGTTGCACTGATTTAGATCAGTGCCTAGCTGTCTTCATATATTGTTTTGTTTTCATCTGTTTAAATGACCTTTTTAGGAAGAGCAGAACTAAACTTTATAACTTTGTTAAGAACCTGGACAATATTTTTCTAAGGTATTGTCTTAGGCCACAGAAAATATCTGATTTTTTTTTAATGTTTTGCCCCCAGGGAAGTGATAGAAAAGAAACCAGAGAAATTCAAAATTGAGTGTTTAAATGATATCAAGAACTTATTTTCTCCATGTGAACAACCCTTCTATGCTGCTTTTGGAAACAGACCTAATGTAAGTCTGCACCATCCAACAATTAGTTAAAATGTTCTGCTGTTTTACATGAATATGCTAAATGCACAAATAGTTCTTGAAACTTAGGAAGGAGTTTGAGATGATTTTTCACGTATCTCTATATGGGTTTCGGAATGAGTACATGGATATGAATTTTGTAATGTGACATTTTTTCAATTAAAAAAATGGCACTATGGCCTCTAGTCTAAAATGTAGTTGTGTTGACTGCAGGATGTGTATGCTTACATGCAAGTTGGAGTTCCAGACTGCAGAATATTCACAGTCAACCCAAAGGGTGAACTAATCCAGGAACAAACAAAGGGAAACAAATCTTCGTAAGTATAGGGTTTTTAAAAGCAGTGGGAAGAATAATTGTTGAATTGATTTGGGTAACCATGCTGCCTAGTATGTGCAATTTTAGGAAAGTGCCTAAAATCATGACTATCTGCCAGTGTATTACCGTATTTTTCGCCCTATAGGATGCACTTTTCCCCCTCCAAAAATGAAGCGGAAATCTGGGTGCGTCCTATGGGGCGAATGCAGGCTTTCACTGAAGCTTGGAGAGCTTCAGGAAGACATCCGCAGCCTAGGCAGCCCTGTCTAGGCTGCAGATAGTAGCCTGCTTCCCGGAGCGTCGGGCGCCCTGAAAGCAGAGCGCCCGGCGCTTCGGGAACACATCCGCAGCCTAGGCAGCCCTGCGGGAGGTCCCACAGGGATGTCTAGGCTGCGGATAGCAGCCTGCCGCCCAGCGGGCGGGGCGCCCTGCGCGCCGGGCAGACATCGGCCAGCCCCACAAGCTGGGGGGGGGACAGCAGGGAGGCGCAGCGCCGCCATCCCACTGTTCCTCGACCTGGTTCAGTTTCCCCGACCTGCTTTTGGGGGGAAATAAAGGGGGGAAATTTTCCTTTATTTCCCCCACAAAAAACTAGGTGCGTCCTATGGGACAGAGCGTCCTATAGGACGAAAAATACGGTAAATGATTTGACTATGGGCAGAAGTCAGTTGTGGAGGTGATTAAACCTGGCAAGATTTATATCCCATTAAACACGCCCAGAATCAGACAAGCATTGATTTTTAGCACTGCTGTTTGGCTATATTAAGCCTTCAATCCTATAGATGTTTACCTGTAAGTCCCACTGAATTTGGTGGTCTTGCTTCTGAATAGGCATGTACAGGATTGCACTGTATAACAAGTATAATGAGTAACCCTTCCTATTTATTTCTGCATACAGGTATTACAGGCTGAGTGAACTAGTAGAACATGTGTTTCCACTTCTTAATAAAGAACAGAGCTCTGCTTTTGTATGCCCAGAATTCAGCTCCTTCTGCTATTGGAGAGAACAGCTTCCTGAAGTGAACATAGAAGACTTAGCTTGAACAGCACTGATCACAGAGAACCTCCTTCTGCAGAGGCTCCTTTATCCTTTGGTACCATGTGTCTTATTAAATACAGGAAGCGCCAAAGGTTTGGCATAAGCAAATGAAATGCAAGGCTGATCTCTCTTTGTTCTTTTAAGATGTCCTTACTGTTTGATTTAAGGCATTAGAAAGATAGCAGTCCTTTGAAATAGCAGACCATCCAGAGGATAGAGGACAGAAAATGGAAATTTGGTTGCAGATTTGCATTTTCATATATACAAACCACAGTGGATGTGTGTGATGTTATGTATGTTAGCCTCCTTGATATCTTAAAGGAAAAGAGAAAAAAGTATGTAAAATTGATAGCAGGGATTTAATATGCCCACTATAGGAATTATATTTAGTACTTAAACCAGCACTTAGGCTGTTTGAGATACAATGTCTCTCTCATTATTAATTTCTTTAAAAATATCTTAAGGATTCATGAGTTCGTGTGTAGTGGTCACTCTGTTTTGCTACACCGTTAAAGAACTGAGGATTGTAGTGGAAATGGTACTTCTATTACCCACTCATGGTTGTGTTGCCTTTTTAAAAAAAAGAACAAACAACTACTATACAGTGATTGGGGGCTATCTGAGATGCTTTTTCTTTCTTGCAGCAATTTTGCTTCCCTAAGCTGCTATGCGAAATTAGAATTCTAAAGAACAGTAAGAACATCTTTGCTGCAAACAGCTGACATCTCTTAATTGCACTTAGCATGGGTACTGTATAGATCAGCAGGCAACAGATTCAGAAAATATTCAGGGATAAATTCTTGTTTTATAAAAGAAGGTAATGTATATAGTCAGTCTTTAAAACTGGAACTACTATGAATGCCTTTCCAGAACTCTGTATCAGGGTTTTCCAGTTTTGATAAAAGTGGCACAGGACAAGGGCATCCAAGTGAGAAATACTGTGTGTGTCAGGTACAAAATGTTACTTCTGTTTAGACATTTAGTATCTTAGCTCCACAGTGGATCCAAAAGCAATCGAGGTCCTGATTTAAGTAGCCAGTTGTCTTACATTCTTTCACCTACTTCTATCCAACCCCTGACACAAAAATGATAGTTGATTAAAACGTCTATAAGCAAAAACATTCCAACTCCCTGCCAGGTTAGTCTAGTATGCCATAAACCAACTCAAACTGAAAGAGTTAACATTTTTGAATCATCATATAACTGAACTGAAATGCTGACTAGTGCTTTCCTGGTCACCCAAAGTATCCATGTAAACGTATCAAAACTGTATTCTCTGCCAGGTATGAACTACTAAATTTAATCTGCAGGTTTGCTACCGGTGCTGGTTTTATGTTGTCAACTATGGTAGCAGCATTTAAGGACTAGACCTAGTGCACTCAATAAAATCTTTATCAGACTTATCGAGGAGTTTCACAACTAGTAATTTGCTCCTTTTGACTTTGTACAGGGAAAACATTTGAGACTAATTAGATCAGTTAAATAGATCAGTACAGTAGATGTAACCTTAGAAAAATGTTGGGGCTTGAAATTTCTAACTAAAGAGTGATTGGGCTCTATATTGTCATGTGGTATGTGGTTTGAAACTATTTTTCAATCAGATATCTTAAAGTAATAGAATACCTAAATCTCCACACACAAGGAAGTACAAGTTATAGCTCTAGTAAAGAAAAGCCTACTGTACTGGATAAAATTCACTCCAACATTTAGCACTTGTTCATTTTCATATTATACGGTATTCTGTAAAGCACTCTGAAAATTTGAAATATCCTAGATTAAATTTCAATTTGAGTTGAATGTTTGTTTCACATTATGCTCTTAATCTTTTTTTTCCTCTCCCTCTTTATTCTGAGGTACGGTACATTATTTCACATTTGCAGTAATAGGTTATCTTGCTCCTCATAAGGCATCAGTACTGTTAACTGGAGTGAATAATTCTGGCAGTGTTTGGAGTGGAGATCTGTGTGCTGCTTTTGAATATTAAGAATTTCCAAAACTTCTGGAAGAATTCCCTTTTGCTTAATGCTGAAGAGTACTCTTGAGTCACCTTGATCCAAACACTTCCTTCATTTGAACAAAATATGCACTTCTTAAAATGATATACTATTGTTTTCTATCTCTTGGTCTCAATTTGAATGGCACTATGCAGACCATTACATGATGAGTTTGGATTTTACCTCAGTGACTCCAGAGCTGCTCATTGGTAGATGGTGGTGCCCAATATAGCTATCTGCTAGAGGTAATTTTTAATCTGTTTCCTTGCTGTACTGGAAATGGATGGTTTAGAACTGGTATTGGGAAACAACGCTTGTACTAAATCTATTTCAGATCAGCACAAGTTTCTTAGTTCTTTCCATGAAAGAGATATACATTTGTGTTTATGAACAAAGAACCTTTTAAAGGCTGTTTTTGAATATGCATTTCCTTTTACTTTGGAAGTGTATTGAACAGCTTATGCTGCACCTCTCAAATCATTTACCTGGAATTTGTCATATAAAATGAATACAAGTAAAGTAAGGAGCTGGGAAATCAAAGCCTGCAAGTAATGCATGGATAATTAAGGCAATCTCTGCTTGTTTATGCAAGAAAACAGTTGTTTTCTATTGCAGTGTAAAGGTTCTAGATCTCTTGTGTCCTTGTGTTAAGACTAGTATTTGGAGGAGAGAATGTGTGTGTAAATGCAAAAAAAGTCTCTATTAAGCAGGGTAAATGGGATCCTTGAGAAACAGTACTCCGCTATCCATATACTTTTTCAAGAATTGTGCCCTCATCTGGAAAAATATATGGCTCAGCATTGGAAACTTCTAAATGCATTCAATTTATGCAAATATGACTGTGATGCAGGCTGGTAACTGAAGTGCAAGATATCTCAAGTCTTTAAAGCAACTAATATGTAAGACAGATATATTAGAACTGATACCTTTGCGATAAGACTTTCATCAGCAAAACTTTTGACACCTTTCTTTAGAGAGTGAGAGAATCTACATTGTGGTTGGTTCTGAATGCAAGATTGGAGATAATTCTTCAGTACATTCTATTTAATTGTGTTATAACCAGTTTTTTCTTTGATATACCTTTATTCACTTATTAATCATTGAACATTCCAGTACAGTGTTTTTTTTTTGTAAAGACTGGTCTGTTAGGAAAAAGATGTCCACTGTGCTGTGTTAATAAAATTTACAATAAAACCTCACTACATGTGTTATCTTTATACATTTGAAATTATTCCCTGTGGCGCTCAGAACGGCCTGCAGCCTAATCACAGAAATTCCATTCAGTACAATATAGGAAAAAGTTACCTTGGGTGTAGAGGAGAATAAACACGGAAGAGACAGTCAGCTGATAAAGCCTGTAGTTATGTTCATTTTGGACTCTACCTGAAAGTAGGCTGAAAAGGTTTTGGGTTACCATAGAAGTGATTCAGAAATGCAATTTCCATAAAAGTTACTTTTTTGCTGCAGAACTGGGGCTGGTGAGCCTCCTCCATGGTGGCTAAATGCAGTTGGGGACTGGGGCAAAATTTCTGCCAACTACAATAAAGCACTAGATTTTTACTGTGACTGCCTCTTCTGGAGACATGAGGGAGACCTTCAGTAAAGGCACAACCCATTGTTTACTGAAGGGCTCCTGGCCATTCCCACAGAAGAGCAGCAGTCTTCTATTAAGTATGAGTAGATAGGACTAAGACTACAGTGCGCAAAACTCTATCTGCACTATCTGCGATAAAGAAACTCCAGTCATAACCTACAGAACAAGTACATGTAGTGCCATCTTCAGTATTTTAGGGTAGGCTACAAGTTTGTAATACTGCAAGAGTGAAGAAGCAAGACAAGAAGAGAAATTTCATAGGCCTCATGAGGGATGTTCTTTCCTTGGCTGCAGGAATTCCTAGCACCATTAGTAGATTACCAAGTACAGAAAAAGGAGGGTGTGGCCTATTTGGCTGGGTGTCTTTGCTTTTTAGTATTTAGTCTGCTGCAAAAACAAACACATAAGGGAGTGATGCTATTTAGACCATGTTGTATTATGCCTGTTCTCAACTTCCACTTTTCCCAGATGAAAGCTTTTAGGACATCAGATACTTACAAGAACCTAATTCTGTGTGAACCTCGTACTTCTAGCATAGTAGTTCAAATATCACCTTTTTCCTGAATTTACTCTGTGGCCTTGGGATCCATTCCCCCTATCTAAAATATGATGACAACATGATTTACAAGAACAAGTTAATGCACATGAAAGTGAAATACAAAAGTTATTGCTGCAACCACTGCTATAATTTTCAACAGCTAGTTCAAACTTAAGTGAAAAGGACCTCCTTTGCTGCTTTCAGCATTTTAAGGATAATGCATGAAAACAAGATAGTTTCACAAGGATAATTTTTAAATTTATTTAACTAGCTTCAATGACTCAGGATTGCAATTATAAAGTCTCTATTTCAAAAGTTAATAAACAGTGCATAATTTACTTTGAACATATTTCAGTGATACCCCCCATAGTAACTACTGTTCTTTTGTAGGATGTTTAAATGTCCATAATCTAAAAGAAAGTCAACCGAGGGAAAGAAAATATAGTCATGTAAAGATTGCACTTAAAACAGAAGTATTGAAGGTGATGAAAAAAAATGAGGAATAAAATATTAAAGCTTCACCATTTATTCATTACTCCCCTCTATGCATGAGAAAGGGAAGGATATAGAAACACCCCACTGAATGTGGAGTATATTTCATCAGAGTCTGTGTAGGCCAGCTTGCCCCCAGTAACGACAATGCTTACTTCAGCTCCAGCTTTGAGGTGAAGAACAAGATGGAAAGCCCCCGTTCCACCACAAGTTCGTTTCCCTGACCGTGGTCGGTGGTGTTCGAGCAGCTCTCTCCTGTAGCCAGCTGTGTGGAGCTGAGCAATGCTTGCATTGGAAACGGACAGCACAGCTTCTACGTATTCATCTCTCTCTGGAGCTAGAACAGCTGTGATCAGATAACGACCTTCATAGGGAGATGTAAAGACGCCTGCAATGAAGACACACATTAATCAAAACACACGTGTACAGTTGGCCCAAGTCCAATTCCTACCGCTTTTTCAAATAACACAAGTATGTCAGTACAATAACTGGGAGGAAATAAAGGGCATTTAAACTGAACGTGTCATATTTTATTTGGCATGACAACGAAGAGGAGTTCTTCACATAAAATTCCTCTTATGAGCTCATTCTCCCTTAGCTCCTGCACATGCTTATTATACATTTTTATCCACTGAGCTGATTGTGATTTCACTTCAGTTCCCCAATGCATAGGAAAGAATGCAATGGTGTCTGCTGTTAGCAAGTTCTCCCAACATTAAATCCTTCAGTTCTGCCACTTGTATTTGTGACTTTATGGGGGGAAGACAGCATGCTCAAGGACTAAACAATATTGGGTAGATTAAAAGAAATGGATGTTAGCAATGGAGTTATTGCCAGCCTCAGCAGCTTGAGAGATCTGAAAAAAATGTATCAGTAGTGTCTACTCTCACACTAACTTGGACAGGAAGGGAACCTCCTATTAAGTTGCTTTATATAAGCAGGTACAAGTTGAGAAAATGCTGGAATGCATTTAAATTCTACAGAATTTAAAATTTAAAAAAATCATTCAATAGATTCTGCTCCCGTTTCCCTTTATCAATTATGAACCTTTCAATACCTGTTTTAGGGTTATAATGGTTTCCATCATTTACAAGCACTTTGTTGAAATGTACCACACCCACACCATTAGGGAAAGGCTTCTGAGTGAGACCAGCAGAGAATGACACTGGTGAAGTAACAGCTGCTCCTAGAATGAAGAAGTGATCATAATTTAGACACATAATGCAGCATTACAAGTGCTTTAGCTGGTCTTATACATAAAGTTCTCCCCATGCCCTTAATTGAACAAAAACAAAACAAGCACACCTTTTGCAGTTTTACCGCTGTTGGGACGACTGAAGGTCCTCTTCTATTTACACTTTTCCTATCATCTACAAAGTGAATAGCAATATTATCCCTATCTCATTCAGCAACAAATGTTTAGGCAACACTGTCTTAGTTCTACATCACCAAAAGTGTGTGGAATGAATAAACACAATGGATATAGCTATATGCTTTACGTACCACATACCAATTATGCTAAAAGAGATTACCACCACATGAAGATGACCTTCATGGCTTTAAGCCTTTGGGCTTCTCCAAGAAGGCCCAATGCAGAGAGTACTAGGCCAATCTACAGATCACAACCACCACATGGAGGCTACTGCAACATGCTCTATTTCACAACTGCTAAGGGGTAAGTGTGTTGCATAACACAAACTTGCTAAATAGACTGCTTTCATTGCAAACCTTCGATTTTAGTCCCATGTGCTGGCACAATGAAAGTGACCATTCCTTATAAGTAACTAAGTTCAAAGTGGACAAGCAGTTGTTGCAATCCATCTAAGAGTAATATATGTACAATTCTTCTACTTCATCCACCTAGCAGAGCAGTGTAGTGCATGCAGAGCCTGCTTAGAAAAACAGTCATTCTAAGGAGTGCTGTGGATGGATTTAGCTTCCCCTACCCAGTCCTTCCCACTGAAGTACTTTTCTAAATAGTCTCTGCATATTCCCTTGCTGCAACTGTTCTATACACATATTCAAAAGTGGTGTTTTAATTAACTTTCACTTACGTCCAGTTTAACATTTTTGTAGCTATTTTCCTTTTATTCCTTAATTTGTGATTGTGTGGAATTGACATGGCTTTCAGCTAGTACAATAAACTTACTTTGATTGATTTCTTCTTCAATCCGTGTGTCCTTCTACATAGTAGCTGCTCCTTTCTGGGCCCTGCAAACCTATTGTCCCTGGGAGGGCATGGAGCAGGACCAGTAGGGAGGGGGCATAGCCTGGGAAGGGTCCCAGGAGCCAGACAGAGGCCTGGAGGGGCACATTTGGCCTCCAGACTTGGAGTTCCTCACCCCTGCTTAACAGACTGCAGAACCACACCTCCAACTGCAGTCAGATAAATTTTCAGGTAACTGTTACAGCATTTGTATATACACACTATATAACTTTTTAAGATGTTGATACAATAGACTGCCAACTAAAGCAAAGCAAATAATGAAGCTTAATCTTAATCTCAATTATTTCAGTGGCTTTTCTTAAGCAGTGGAGCCACATGACAGCCTAATATGAGAAAGCTAACTTTATCCAAGTGTTAGCAGCAGTGCCATGCTCTCTGCAGTCACCTGCACACAGTCGGGTCTGGAGCATGTCAACAATCAATTACTTTAAACAGTTTAAGATGACAGTAGAATAGTTTCTGATCTTTAGCTGAAGCAAGGGCTCCGGTTAGCTAAGTCTCCCCATGCCTAGCCTTGCATGAAGATTGAAGGTAATAAACTACTAGATACAAATTATTGGATCTGTGTGCATGCCACAATGTATGGATTCAATGCCAGCACTCAGCCATATGTTGAAGCCCAGACACTATGCTGACATATATGCCTATTTTCAGCCTCAGCCTTTGTGTTCCTACTTGGGTAGGATACCTGAGAGAGAAGAATATAACAAGCTTTCCTTTGTAATCAGAGGAAAAGGTATTTAAAGATCCTCTCTCTTTGTTTATTTACAAATAAATAAAAAGATATTAAATCTCTCTTTGTTTATTTACTTAGTTAATAGCCTTTTACATGCATCTTGTGAACTGCCCTGAGAACTGTGGATGAAGGGCTGTATATAAATTACTAAATAATGATCTCTAGGTGTCAGGGAACAGCCAGGAATCTGAAGGGTGAACAGAGGAGGCAGCAGGGCAGGAGGATGATTCAGGGAAAGTAGTTTATAAGTTTCAGATTTTGAAACTATACTAGAAGAAATAGTTTCTTAGTTAATATTTCAGGAAATAACTGTCATCTGAAATAGTATTTATGCTATAAACTGCTTTAGTAAATGCCACCAAGCAAGTTATGGGAATTAGCAAAAAGAAAAGAAAAAAATCTGAAAACATGGGATTACCTTGTGCAGTTGTAGAGGGAGGCCGTGGAAGTTTTGGATAACCTACAAACAAGTATGAAAAAGATGCATATTTCAAGCAAATTTACAGTCTCTAATAATGAAACACCCCTCCTGTCAAATGTGATTAATTCCAGTACCACCAGCATCTGTACTATAGTACTTAGTAACTTCTGAATCTGCATTTCTCAGAATTTTTGGAGTGGTCCTTTTGAAATGAGTAGCATTATAGTAAGTGGTTTAATTACTGCTATTTAAATGAAGACTTTAGAGGGCCATGACCTGGCACATTCTCATTCCCTTCCTGCATGTTTCAGTGAAGAAAGGAATATACATAGTGGCTCCTGCTACTATCTATACAATGTTGGTGGGAAGCAGCGATATTGCAGATAGGAATGGCTGCTATCCTCCACTGCAGTGGTGTGCAATGTTAGCAAATCACTCCTCCAAGGCTGCATTATGTGATTGGTGTAATTCACATGACTGTCTGAGAAGAAGCGTGAGAACAGGATACAGTCCTATCTGTATGTACTATGTAATGTACTTTCACTTTTACTAGTTGCCTGCCTGTTCTCTCTTGGAGCTGAATGAGAGAGAGCCATGATTCTGTGTCTGTATATAGTATAAATAAATACGTAGTTTAGATCTATGGATGGTTCGTTCTTCTTGCTGCGCTATGCCAGAAGATTAGCGTGCATCTTTCATCTGGAAGATGTCACTGAAGGGCACACTGGAACGAAGGAACGTGCCATTCCAGAGTTGTGCTTACCGGGAGGACACTCGGAAAGGTCAGTGGGACTGAGGGGGCCTCTGGGCGACCCCAGAGCATCGTAAATCCCAACATGCAAAGGTAAGGAGGATTGGATTCCCCAGGTATGTTGGTATGGAACAAACAACCATATTTTTTACACAGAACATCTGATCACCGCATTCTGAATAAATATGCATATTTTATCAATGACAAAAAACAACAACTCAGAGATAATCTGCTCACCTGGTGCTCCAGCAGACCCTTCGGAAACCAGCATGTTATTCTGGCCATTTTGGCCATTTTTGCTTTTTTTCCGTCCTTTTTCCGACATTAAAACTGTACCAGGAGGTCCTGCCTGTCCAGTTTCCATAAATATCCCACTTGACCCAGGCAAGGAAGGTTTTGATCCTGCTTTAAATCCTGGTGATGATGGCCGTAAAGGAGTTCTGGAATCTGGTGGCTGAAGAGGTATTCCTTGCAATGGTGGTTGTACGATTATTTGTGGATCTGATGGCTTCAAAGGTATTCTTATTTCTGGAATCTGTAGGTGTATTCTTGGCTGTGATGGCTGCACATGTTCCCCTGGTTGTGGCTGTAGTGGTGTCCTTGGCTGTGATGGTGCTGGATGTGTTCCTGACTGAGATGGCTGTAATGGTTTTCTTGGATCTGGTGGTGGCAGGGGAATCTTTCCTTGGGGTTTCCTTGGTAGTAACACTGCTGGATTTTCAGCTAAAGGTTTGTAGAGGGAGGAAAATGGACCAATCAGAAGTTTTGGCTAACCTGGCTTGAATAATATTTGAATATATGATTATAAGAATGGCAAAGCCTCTCCTCTTCCACGAGGGGAGGAGTTGCGAGCGGGACTCGCTTCCCGCACTTTGCAGGGGGGCATGGTTGGGCTCCCTGCATCACAGTGAGTCCTGGGCCCGCGTTATGCCCTCAGCCGGCCAATCCAGCTATCTGGGGGGCATGGTTTGCCACATTTAAGTGGTCATGGGCCCTGCGCTCTGCACGGAACAAATCATCACAACTTTGTAAGGTTTGGCGGTTAGGCATTGGAAAATGTGTTGTGTGTTAGAAGGGAGGTTGTGGCCATCACCTACCCCTCCCTTTGAAGGGTATTCCGTTAAAGGAATCCGGTGGTCGTGGTAGAAACACATATTTAGGGTTTGATAGTTCTCACTCCAGATCACCAAGGCACAACCTACAATATGGTCAGTTTTTGAGAATAAAGCACAACTGTTCTACAGAAAATGATTTTATGCATGAATTCCATATACTGAGTAATCAGTTATTTAACAGAAAGTAAGTGACGCGGGTGGCGCTGTGGGTTAAACCACAGAGCCTAGGACTTGCCGATCAGAAGGTCGGCGGTTCGAATCCCCGTGATGGGGTTGCTCCCGTTGTTCAGTCCTTGCTCCTGCCAACCTAGCAGTTTGAAAGCACATCAAAGTGCAAGTAGATAAATAGGTACCGCTCTGGCGGGAAGGTAAACGGCGTTTCCGTGCGCTGCTCTGGTTCACCAGAAGCGGCTTAGTCATGCTGGCCACATGACCCAGAAGCTGTACGCTGGCTCTCTCGGCCAATAAAGCGAGATGAGCGCCGCTACCCCAGAGTCGGCCACGACTGGACCTAATGGTCAGGGTCCCTTTACCTTTAAGTGACTAATAGTTTGAGCAAAGCTTCACAAATATCACAAACTGATATTTTAATTAAAGTACCGGGGGTGGGGAGTGGATTTTATTTTCAAAACATGTTTTGGCCAATTATCATTTTAAGACTTTCAGGGGCTATAAAAGACAATACATCAAATGAACAATATATTCTCAACACTTAATTGATACAAACTAAATTGATAATACACAAATTGCATGTATACCCTACTTAAACTAAAAATCAAACTGCAGAGATCTCTGTTAGCGATATATCGTATTCACATTAACTGGGACTTGAATTATTGTCTGAAAGAAAGAAATAATATATATAATGAAGAATCATATGCGATTAAAAAGGACTTTAAATTGTAAGCATGGTAGTCCAAAATACCTCAGGGGAGTGTCTCCAAAGCTTATAATTGTACAAGAGAAAATCTAGCTCTTCATTAAGCCCATGTGGGGCAAAGTTTTTAGCCTCAACATCTACACTGTTTCTTTCCTTTACAAAATCTTATCTGTATACGGCTTTTCAAGAGCCCAAAACATTAGATCTGCTACAGAATGATTCTGTTCCATAATGTGACTGACTGAAGGGGTACCCAGAGTTGGGGCTTTTTAAATTTCTGATATTACAAAGATAATTTTTTAAGGACCCTTGATGCTTTCCCCAATGTAGTTGGGGTTGTTTTTGTTGTTGTTTTTTGTTTTGGCAAGTGGTATAAACTACACAGGCAGTGTTACAGGTGGTAAAACATATATTTTGTGTTGAGTAGTCTTAAAATTCTGCTGCTTTACAAGTGTACCTACAATACAGTGTTCTTTTAAAATTATTATTAATAAAATTTCTATACCACTCTTCATCAGAAGATCACAGGGCAATTTACAATATAAAAACACAAAATAATAACCATAATAACAAACCAAAACAATAACCCCCTACACACAATTTAAAAGGTTATAGATTGGCTAATTAAACAAAGGTCTGGGAGAAGAGAAATGTTTTTGCCTGGCACCTAAAGATAATTAACGAAGGTGCTAGGTGAGCTTTCCTGGGGAGAGCATTTCATAAATCTTGAGGCATATTTTCTTTTGGTTTTGGGTTAAACAATATAGATACAAGCAGCTGGTCAAAACAAAATGGACCTGAATTCTCAAAACACCAAGCTTCACTATTTACCACAAAAGCTGCAACTGTATGTTTTTATTGAATTGACTAGCCAGGGAAGAATGTCACCGTATTTAATATGGATCAGTAAGGTGTCCTTCAGTTTTGGGAAATCTCAGTTTCCTTTGCAGTCTCGTTTTGCAGAACAGGGCTAAGGACATATCTTTCCCAATTTAACATTTCTTTCTATTTTTGAATTCAGACTGTCTAACTAGAGCCTTGCAAAGCTGGTAATATGGCCAAGCATTTCAATAACCTTTGCTTCTACCAGGCAGACCCAGAACAAGCTCCCTCAAAATCGTAGGCCTATGCCAATTGGCCCACCTCCCGCCTCCCCGCCCCAGTTCTGGCCTGTGTCTAACCATATAATATACTTGCCATTATTGTATAAGTTCACAGATGGTTTTGTGGGAAGCATATACAAGGATTAAAAGCTGTTACATATAGAACATCGTATCATGATCCATACAGCTTTAGAGCTTAGTGCTATGAGAGTCAGAGCTAAGTGAAAACATGGGTATGTTTTGCTTTGCTTTCCCCATTGCCAGCAAACGGGAAGCCCCACTTTTATTACATAAGATTTGCTAGATGATCACAGCCAAATAATATGTCAGCAGTGTTCAGTGGGATTTATAAAGCAGTTTAGGCTGATAAATATTAGTATGTTTACCATTTTAAAAATGCATAATGCACTCTGGGGACTTTAAAAAATGCTACTTAAGCGCTGAAGGGAAATTACTGCTGCACTGACTGCACTGAAAGATATTAGTTCGTATTCTAACATATATGCAGTTGCTGCAGGGATATCTTGAACATGACAAAGGAAAATTATGAAAGAAATACCGTATTTTTTTGCCCCATAGGAGGCACCGGCCTATAGGACGCACCTAGTTTTTTTGGGGGGGGGAATAAAGGGGGGAATTTATTTTTCCCCCAGGTGCGGGGCTGGGGGGATGCCCGAGCTTCCCCCGACCCCAGCCCCCAGAACAGGCTGCTATCCGCAAGCCTAGGGAGCCTGGCGGGAAGTCGCGCCGGTCTCCCCAGGCTTGCGGATATCTGTCCCCCGAGCTTGTGGGGCTGGCGGTGGGGAAAAGCGCGCTTCTCCCCAGCGCCAGCCTCCAAACCAGGTTGGGGAACAGCGGGATGGTGGCGCTGTGCCTCCCCGCTGTCCCCCGACCTGGTTTGGAAGATAGCTTCCTGAAGCCTGGAGAGCGAGAGGGGTCAGTGCGCACCAACCCCTCTCGCTCTCCACGCTTCAGCGAAAGCCTGCATTCACCCCAAAGGACGCACACACATTTCCCCTTCATTTTTGGAGGAGGAAAAGTGCGTCCTATAGGGCAAAAAATACGGTAGTTCACTGAGATACGAGAAGTGAACAAACCAAATGAGCAAGCTGTTTCGATGTGATCCTAGTAATTGGCCTACCCAAAATGCTTTCCAAAATGCTTGTCAGGACCAGCTTCCATAGCACAGTTGCCGGGACTGACATCTCCTGCTTCCTACTTCCCCCTAAGTCCCGTGAGAGGGAGCCCTTGCTCCTTGTTCTGCCACATGCATAGGTCCTTGTGTCCTTGGGGATAAAGGGGAAGGGGAGCCTAATGCAGTAGGACAGGCAATCCTATAGAAGGTACAACTGCAATATATACTAGTAATTGCAGATGGTGGGGAAATAGGTCTGCTAAACCAGCCTCTCTTAGCCTTGGTTCTTGGATTGCAAAATGACAGTAATCACCCTATTTCCACTGCTTTCCCCCCCCGGGGGGGACGCAGAGGTACGCACAGCCCTAAACATTTTGTGAATCTAAGTTTAGCCTCATGGATGGGCAGTATTTCAATATGATTAGGAAAATGAGAGTACCCCTAAACATTTTTTAAGAAAAAGAGCACTGCCTATTTCACTGAGTTACTAGCAGGGATGAATGTGAAGACCTTTAGAAAAAGTGATTATTAATAATGTCATAAACAGAGCAGGTGTTATTTAAGATAATCTATGTGAATGTTGCCTAGGCAATGCAAAATTTCATATAGAAAAAAAATCGTACAGCTCCCACTGCCCTCAGGACATTCGCTATTTAAAAAAATGGGCACCCTATCAAACAATACTGTTGTATCTTCTATAGTATAAATAATTGTGCTGATAGATGTGTTAGCTAACAGTATTACTATGTTTAGCAGCCTGAGTGAACTCTACAGTTATGAGAGAATACAGAGATATGAGTGGAAATACATTTCTGCACCATTCTGTTCTGCTTATCTGAGGCAGATAAACAATGTTGACATTGTAAGTGTCATTGCTGAATTTAGCAATATTCTGATAAGGTGGTGCTCCAAATGCCCTATTCCAAGGAAAGTGACAGCAAGGAGAAGATCCTGCAACCACCTCATTATCACAACATGATTTATTTAAGGTGGCACAATACTTCAAATTGTGCGGCCAAATTATGCAGCCTTTCAACATCATAGGGTTTTAATGACAGGAGAAGGCACACCATAACGAATTTCCATTCTGCACATCGCTTAAAGATACAGATTCCGTCCTGTGGGTGCCCTGACAATGCTACATTCTCTTGGCTCTTTGGCACAGAATATTCTACATCCTTTTTGACAACCAACAAAATGGAAGCAGCAATTGCCAATGTTCACTTCTTCATCCCACATCCAGTGAATGTGATCAAAAGATATATAACTCCCCACCCCCAATTTGAATTGCATCTCCTTTGCATTGCAATGATGTGGAATAACAGAATTAATTACCGTACTTAAAATTTCACCATAGTGGACCGTGAGACAAATAATGTGGTTTTGTTAGAAGCCATACTGCAGTGCAGCAGAAATAGTGCTGCATGGGATGAATATATGGTGGAATAGAAATTGATGCCTTCTTATACCTGAGCTGACAAAGCCTCCTG